AATTTGGTTCCATTAAAGAACAATAAATTGATAATTTTGATATCATATTTTTGATTTATTTCCATCATTTGTTATATGTAAACAGAGACAACTGTCATTGTGTAAATGTCATCCCTCTGCAAAAAGTTCCGATTTTTTTCAAGGAAGATAACTCTCACCCGGATCAAAGTGATTGTAAAATGTAAAATAAATTAATTATAAAGCCATTGTGTATATTTTGTTCAATTTCTCACTCTATATGTATAGATCTGTGTGTCCTGTTTGCTTTTAGCTTGTAGATAATCACTTTTATCCGTTCAAATTCAATAAAAAACACTTTGTGTAACATGTGTTACATATTTTGCGATAAATAAAATATTTGTAGGATTAATTATAAATGCTTCTTTTCATTTTTTTATTGTTTTTATTGTTCCGAACAATGCCACACACAAAAAAAAAATGGAAAATATTAAAAGTGGCGAAAATTCAATTTTTTGGTATTTTTTCCAAAAAATTCCCCAAACCATCGGAATGTTTAGATTTTCATAAAATTAACTCTACATAGTTGCATAACCATTATATGAAGGTTTCAACGAATTTTGCTGGTTAATTGCGAAAGTGTGGAGCCACCTTAACCTTTAGTTTGACATCATTTTACGGACGCTGGCTCGTATAGATGTTCCCTCCAAAGTGGCCAAAATGCGACATTTTTTTATCCTTTTACATTAACCTTCACATATAACAACCAATTTCTATTCATATACATAATATGGAGTAATGTGAACTAAAGCTGTTGAGATAAGTGAAATATCATGTACAAAAGTGATTTATGAAGCAATTACTGTACTTCCTATCGTATATTCCACCGGATAGTGTTTTCATCTCAAGTCTTAAGTAATTCTTGTGATATGCAAGTGTGCATTCATTCACTGTTTACCATGTCTTTTATTTACTTAATCTGAATGATATTTTTCTGCGATCACATTTATTGCTTTTCATATTAACATTTTTGTTTTTATAAAAATGTTTGTATCAAAAGTGTCATGTCCCGGGGGCCTTTGTAGGTAGGGGACTCCCAATCACTCAGAAACCTGGGATATACTTTCTTTTTCTGTGGTAATTATTATTGCTTTTTATTAATATATGTGATCATTTCCCTTTACATGTAATATAATGTGTTATCGGGTTTATTTTTTATATATGTTTGTCGCAATAATAGCTCTCAAGAGCTAATGTTCTTTGTTTACATGTATGCGACTTTAAATAAAGTTTCTTGTATTTTGTATCCTCCAATAATTGTGGTTTAAATACCAAACGCAACACATTTGAAAACGAAATACTCTTTATTTAGAAAAAAACCAAAAAACCTAATGCATAACATATTTATGAGTACAGACTCCAATTAATGAGTGATGAATTTGTTTACAGGCCCAAAATAAGGAGGACGGATTGGCTCGGTACAACATACCGAATCCAGTGAGTATGCACTATTATATCTGATCATACAACCAAAATAGGAGATTAAAATAAGAGATTTCAAATAACTTTTTATCATCAATAAATCTTTCAATATCAATTCTCACTTCCGTTTTAACGGAATGTTTCTTTGTTAAACGTAATGGACAATGGATCAGTACTAAGAACTTGTTTCAAACATTTAATTATATAGAACAAGAATGTTATATCATCTGAAATTAAATTTAAACTAACTTATAAATATGTCATGAGTATTTTATCAGCAGATTAATCATAGACAATTATAACAAGGATACGTTTCATAAATCACTGACAGATTGATTTGGAAATCCGTGTTTTTTTGTGTAGTTTGGCTTACACGAGATGTGACTCATTAAAGTGTTGAAAATGCTGTTCTCTACATGATGAAATCTAATTATTAAGAATTTGAAAATATGAAATCTTGCATACTGTTTTTGGAAAATAGATCTAAATACTATAATCTCAAAATGCGAAAATATCAATTCATCATTGTCAATTTACAGTTTAAAGTTTTGAAAATAATGTTTAAACATGCCTCCCCCTTAAAATAGATAATTATATAAATAGAAAATAAAATAAGATTTATAAACCACGAGTTAGTCCCCGTTTGTGTCATATGTCAACTGTGATAAAAATGAATTATTAAAACAAATATTATAACATGACTGTACAAGTAGTTTTTGCAGATACACAAAATAACGTATCAACAAATTGCTCATCGTACATACTTAAATATACAATTCTGATTGTAGGAAGTCGTGTTATTTACTTTAAATTTGACGCTGCAAATTTACAACTCATCTTGAAGACATAACATAACTTAAGTAACTGCTTCAGAAACAAAAGTATAATAAATATAATATAATAAAACCACACTTGATTATCTAATAGTATACGTTGCTATTATGTGGATGACACAAGGCAAGCTGGTTTATCAATCAACTATTTCCATGTGGTGGTCGGGTGGCGCAGTGGAAAGCGCACTTGCCTTTCACCAAGGCGGCCGGGGTTCGATTCACCGATCAGACGTGAAAAGGTATGGGGTCACTTACCCGACCAGATCGATGGGTCTTCTCACATTAAAACCCCACCTGCTAACATCCGGGCTTACAAGTCAAGAGTGATTAAAATAAGATGAACTAAATTGTTTTATAATTGTTGCAAAAAGAAATAAAGTTTATATATATATAATCTACAATTCAAAACACCGCAAACAATGTAAACTGTAAAAACGCGAGTATAATAAAATAGAATAGGGCACAATCGTATAATCATTTTGTCAGAGTTTTTTTTATATCACATGGCACTTAAAAAGTGAGCATCTACGTTAAAAAGTCACCAGACGCGTGAAGATTGTGAGAATCGTAAACTTATAAAACAATGTATAGAGTAAATGGTCATATAAAATTAGTAACTGGTACAATGGCACATCTCCAAATATTTAACATGATATGCGATTCGTCAATAACGAAATAAACACTTTAAAACTAAGGTATAAAAAGACAACTCGTAAAATTAATGTAATGGACATATACATAAAAGAAAATCGGCAACTTTTCATAATTAAATATATGATTGTTTTTTGCTAAAATATTTCACAATACCTTTCTAGACATAGCAATGATTTTTTGTTGAATATAGATCATTATCAAAATAAAGCAATGGTGTCTCCTTAGACAATACAATACAAAAATCTTTAAAATGGATATAAAATTGTAACTATAATTTGTTGGCCAGTTGGAAAGTGAAAATATACCTTCATAAATCCAGACATGCCTTTATACTATTATGAGTCTTGTAAAATAACTTGACATGTGAGCACTATTTCATCAAATAAACCAGATTCGTAATGTACTATATTTTAAACGTTGCGTTCCTGTACATTAAAAAACATGAAATATTGTCATTTGTTTAGCCAAACACAATATTAGTGTTGTTCACGTAATTTCAGTATATGACAACATATATGTAACAGCAGGTGTATATGTAACAGCAGGTGTATTGATGAACCCATGACAGGTTTTGCGAACATCAATACATTCATTCTACATTCTGTAGGGTAATTTTGAAGACATACTTAACATCAATTAAAATTTAGGGCAGTTAAACAATTGGACGGACACTATTAACAAAATAAGATCATATATGGCTTATAAGTGTAACCCCAGTCTGTCGACGGAGCAAATAAGGCAAGCCCGGAGAGATATTATGACATAAAAGTAAGATAGATAGATATGGTATGTTGATTAAGTCACATACCTCTGTATTCAGGATACCGGAGCCTGTTCGTTTATGCGGAAAAACCAGTTCGTCTGTTTTAAAAAATAACATATCAAGGTATAAATCCTGGTATTAAATCTGCAAAAGTGTATGCAGGCCTTGCAAAGCTTTGTCAAGGCTCACTTGAAAACAGCATCAGATTACTAGGTCCCCCCTTATTTCATAAACGAACAACTCTGGTCCAATCGGTTCAAACGTTTGGATCTTGATGGATGAAAGCGTCCCAACTATGAACCTTTCTCAGAGTCAAACAAACCACTAAATGTTGCTGATTATGGTATGGTGGACTATGGAATTTATTGCTAGTTTTAAGAAACATATCATGTAAATTAATTTTGTGTTTCCAAAGTGAAATATATACAAAGGCACAATATCGTCATCAAATCGAAAAATGATTTAACAATAGGACGGATGCTATTCACAAACTTTGATCATGTATGGCACTATCAAAATAACTTGGAAAAAAATAAACATAAGTAGTAAAATGTTGCACTGAAATTCCATGCAAGAAAATGCAAAAAAACAGATTTAGATATAAAAAAATATCAATGATTGATAATTGAATCGTAATTTCAAAATCATATGAGGTACAATTATATTATTGCACAATATATTTAATACATAAAACATTAGCGCATTTTACAATAACATGAAACTTTGGGATGGATTTTTTTAAAATACTTTCAGGAATTGAATAAACTTGACAATGTTCCGACAATCTTGTGGAAATGATTTATACTGCAGTTTCAAAATAAGGTAAATTATTTTTTACGTGTAAATAAAATATGCAAGACCACACACTTGTGTTGTTCTAATTTTTAATCAATCAGAAAGCACGAGTTATTGCGCGGACGAATACATTTACGAGCGCGCGGAGCGCACGAGTGAATATATACGTCCGCACAATAAATGAGTGCTTTCTGATTCGTTAGAAAAACACAAGTGTGTGGTCTTGCTTTTATCACATACCTTCCGTATTTGTTATAGATCGATACGAAGATTTTATAAACTTTGATATTTTTGCAAAAACCGGGACCTCTGCAGTTCGCCATGACAAGGGGATTCCCATAAAAAGTAGTTCCGGCTAGTAGGTAAATACAACATTAATATTCCGTATTGCATATGTGCAATACAGAACGTTGTATTTCTTGGTCTGAAAATTGCTTGTATTACTATAAAAATATTCAACAGGTATATGTGATAAATATATGTAAACATTTTGTATGTATTCAATTTATGTATTTTGGACTTATAAACGAAATATGTCGTGCAAATATAATGACATTATAATTTGCTCACACTCATTCATCAAAACAATATTAAAGTTAATCGCCATCTTCATGACAAAAGTACATTCAATATTGGGCCCTGTATACCCAAAACGAATATTGGATTAATAGCCGATATCCCATCCTAAAAAACCCACAACGAAATGCAACGATAAATACAAAAAATACACAACAATATAACAGAATGTATAATCACAGCTAAGAATAAAAGTATTAAAACATATACCATTTTGCATCATTTCATATATACATATCATATATCAACCTCATAACAAAACAACGTCAAGTGTTACAGTTAATGAAATCAAAAATATGCAGTACGGCATACTTAAGCAAGTCTTTCTATTTTTGCAGTCTGTATACAATGATAATGTATATAATTATGTAAACAAGTAACATGTTTTAAAATCTAAAACTTTAAACGAAACGAACAATTAAAAAAGGTCAGTGCACAGTTGCCTTACAAAATATTATACAAGTATATAAAATGTTAAACATGCTCTAAACAACACAGATCACATCACTCTGACACTCAGGACACTTTCCCCATATCGTTGCACACTTTAACAATAATTTCCAGGTAGTTAAGTATTATTGGTCAATCTACAGAAACTCACAAAGGTCGTGAGATCACGTTCAAATAATAAAGAATAAAGACACAAAAAAAAGTATATAAATAAATGAAGTAAATAAAACATTGCTTAATACAACAAAGCTGAATTACCATAAATGACAGCATATATTGATGGTTTCAGCATCAGCAAAACAAAGTGTTATGTAAGGGGGAAATTTGTACATAGTAATGGTAAATACAAAAGAAAAACCAATATATCTATAAGTCAACAAGGAATGTCGAAATTCCTTTGTTTATCATAACAAAAGATAAAAGACTTGCGCTACAGATCATTTGACTGATACAGGCAACTAATTATAATCATCGAAACGTTACAAATAAACAAATAATTGGTAGATTTATAGGAACCTTTGTGTAGTAATGATTCAGACAAAATAGTTACAAAATATTGCTAGACAAATGAAACCAAGTGGTATTTTTTTCTGCGTAGCCTTCCTATTAAACAACAGAAGCGTTAAAGAAGCACACACGAGGACGACTTTTCGTTTGTTTGCCTCGCTTGAGTCGGAGCAGCTTGGCTGGGTGGATGCTGCATGTGTGGTTGTGCTTGTCCATACATTGGTTGATGCCCGTATGGTGGTTGTTGATGTTGGGCATGTGGTTGAGGTTGCCCGTAGTGCTGTGGTTGAGAATAAGGTTGTGCATGCGGCTGAGCTGGCGCATACTGCTGAGCTGGCATGTAGGGTTGACCAGACATATGTGGTTGAGGTTGGGCAAATCGAGGATCGTATGAGTATGCTGGAGGTGGAGGTGGAGGTGGAGGTTGACGTGGTGCAGAAGGTGAAGCCTCTGTATGAAGAGCCGGTGGTGGAGCTGGTATATGCTCTTTATCCGTTTCTTTTTCAACTGCAACAGTAGATGAAGGCTCATTAACTGGACTTGTGTTTTCTTTTGCTGCAGTTTGAAATTTTGAAACCGGTGCTTTGATTTCTGATTTCTTCTCCGGCCTTTTTGTAGCAACTGTTGTTTCTTTTACCTCTTGTTTTGTTGTATCCACAACATATCCAATCGTATTAGGCACATGTTCCGTAATCTTGGCTAGGAGCTCATCAAACTTATCCCCTGTCCACGTCATCTGGACTTTCTCGTCACGGTAGAAATTGATGAACAGAAGCTGTGTGAAGACCATGCTCATAGGCCCACTAGGTGGCCAATCCATCTTTTCCAACAGGAGCGGGACCACAGGCCTCTTCAGGGAATCGGCCAGACTGACCTCCCGTCTACAGTTGGCCGAGACTGCATACTTGGTGGTCACACAGGTAAGAACAATCTTACAGCCTCGGACACCTCGGTCAATCTTTTCGTACAGGGAATCCCCGCCTCCCATCTGGTAGATATCCATCCAGCAGGTTAAACCAAGCTCACAGAGTCTCTTGTAGAGCTGCTTGACCTCTTTCTGCTTACCCCACTGGTACGACAGAAACACATCTGGGGACACATTTTCCTTTTTCTACAAAATCAAAACATCATAGAGATTAAATTTAGCATGCCAAATCTCTGGGAAAGATTGACAGAAAACTAAAACAAAAGCATTCAGTTACAAGAGGCCCAGAGGGCCTGTATCGCTCACCTGGATATCTCAGCCAATCATGGCAGAATATTCTCCAAATGAGATCAAAGGGAATATGCCAGACCCCAAGGCCAATCCTTGTAGCATATCTGTATTAAATTTTTCATGCCCAGCAATTTTATGTATGGTTATGGGGTGGGAATCTCAACTGTTTCCAAGCTGTGACTCAGAAACTAGGTCCATAGGTTGTGGCCAGACCCCAGGATCAATTCTAATATCATGACTGCATTCGTCTCTTTTTCCCAGCATTTGTATTTATAGTTTTGGGGTGGGGATCTCAACCGTTTCAAAGTTATGACCCAGGGGGTAAGTCTGCAAAGGTGGGGCAGACCCTGGGATCCATTTTAATATCATGACTGCATTAGTCTCTTTATGCCCAACAATTGTATATATAGTTTTGGGGTGGGGATCTTAACAATTTTGAAGTTATAACCCAGGGGTTAAGTCTCCAAGGCTGGGGCAGACCCCAAGGCCATCCTGGAAGCATATGTGCATTCATTTCTTTATACTCAGCAATTGTATAAATGGTTTTTGGGTGGGGATCTCAACTGTTTCCAAGCTGTGACTAAGAAACTAGGTCCCTAGGGGTTCGATCAGACCCCAGGGTCTATTCTAATATCATGACTGCATTTGTCTCTTTATGCCCAGCATTTGTATATATAGTTTTGGGGAGGGGATCTCAACCGTTTCAAAGTTATGACCAAGGGACTATGTCTCCAAGGGTGGGGCCAGACCCTAGGGCAATCCTGGAAGCAACTGTGCATTCTTCTCTTTATACTCAGCAAGTGGGATCTCAACCATTTCCAAGTAATAAACTTTTTTTGGCCCCACCCCTTAGCCTGGGGGGTCAGCAAAAAAAATTGTACAATTTTGAATCCCTAACTCCCATGAATGCTCCCGACCAAATATGGTCGATATCCATGGCACAGTTCTACAGAAGAAGTCGTTTATAACAATATAGCCGAATTGCCCCCTTTTGGCCCCGCCCCTCAGCCCCCTGGGGGTCAGCTCCACCATTTGTACAATTTTGAATCCCCACCACCTAGGGATACTTCCAGTCAAATATTGTTGATATCCATCTCTTAGTTCCAGAGAAAAAGTCGCTTAAAGCAATATAGCCAAATTGCCTGCTTTTTGCCCTGCCCCTCAGCCCTCTGTGGGGTCAGCCCCACCATTTGTACAATTTTGAATCCCCACCACCTAGGGATGCTTCCAGTCAAATTTAGTCAAATTCCAATCAGTGGTTAAGAAGAAGAAGTCGTTCAAAGAAATTGTTGACGTACAGACGACGGACGGTATCGCATAAGCTCACCATGGTCCTTTGGACCAGGTGAGCTAATAAAATATAGACTATTTTATATTCATATAAACCTTGCAAATACATTCCTTGTTAAAGACAATTTTTCCAAAATTTGTTGAGTGCATGTACCTTTCCGTCAGCTGTGCTGGCTGTACTCTGTCCTTCAGTGTTCAGTGGTTTCTTGGAAATGATGATTTCCTCTGCTACAGGAACCCACCAGTCTCTGTACTCTGGTGAAAACAATTGTTATTTCCTATGAAATATTGGTTGAAAACAATCATCTTTCAAGAAAATTTCATTATGTTGTATCAAGCTTTCAAGAAGATGTTGCTCGTTTCATCTCACAAAGTTGAAATTAAGATTACATGGACATTACAGTTTATACATAATTTTCAGCCAAAGAAAATAATAAATCAGTGCAATTTACCTTTTGTTATGAGTGATTCATCAGGCATGGTTTTGTAGATGTTAAGTTGCATCAGAAGTTCATGAAATTTTGGAACTGGCCAGTAACGTTGGTCCTTGGTCTCTTCCCCTTTTCGCTGGAAGAACCTCACGAACAGGTACTCGCTGAAGATGGGTCCCATAGAGCCCTGAGGAGGCCAGCCCATCTTCTCCATCAGGAGGGGGATCATGGGCTTCCCAAGGGTGACAGAGAGGTTCACCTAATTGATAAATAAGTAGTTGCATATTGTATAACTTTAATTTACTACATATCCGGTATATAATATTATCTTTGCTTCATTAACCTTCGTGGTATCGTTTCCCCATATGTATCTTTCATAATTTGCACTGCAATCATCAACAGGTAATAAAATCCATCTTTTTGATGTTAAATTCCAAACACAAAGATATTGGCAATTCTATTAACAATTACATAGATTTAAATCAACCGAATCTGGGTAAAAATGATAGTCACCTCTCTGTTGCAATTTGGAGATTTAGAGTACTTTTCCGATACACAACATATCACGACCTTAGCCCCTCTGATTCCATTGTCAATCTTCTCAAAAAGTTTATCCCCGCCTCCCATTTGTCCAACATCAATCCAGCATTCATAGCCGGCCATGAGGAGGTGTTGCCGTAGTAACTTGACCTCATTCTGGTGACCCCATTGGTAGCTAAGGAAGATCGGAGGAGGAGTGGTGTACTCTGGGGCTTCCTCCACAACATCCTCTGAAATTATAATACAAATGATATTGTAATGATTTCACTGTAGCTGAAGCAAAACAGTTTAGAGAAATATAAAATTACACAAATTAGTCAGCATAACTTGCTCAACAAAGAAAGAAACATGTCATCTTAGGCAGATGCTTGTCAGGTAAATAGGATAAATATGATAATCCTTGAAAATGTAGATAAAGACTGGTGGTAGCTACATGCAGGTGGTCTTTTAGGTAAGTTTAACTTTGGTAATTTCGAATATGTTTGATAGTAGTAGATAAACCACTAACCTACAGCCTTCATAGCATTCTCCACAATGGCTGCAGCATCCAGTCTGTTCATTTCTTGCAGAATTGTCAGTACTGCATGGCTGGCTTCTATTGTCTTGTGGGTAGCGTACCATTCACTGAGAAGGGCCATGCAGGGATCATGTTGGGTGGCCCATGCCTTGATGTCTTTTGGTGAATATCCTAGACGCTGGGCCAACAGTCTCCAATCGTGCTCAGACTTTGGATTCATCAACTTGGTAAGATCTCTTGACCATGCTGGAGCGTTGGACATCGTCTGTGGTACAGAGTTTACAAATACAGACGAATGACAATCTCGATGCTAGATTTTTCCATAAAATAGACAACTTCACTCAAATATATTATTTGAACTTCAAGTTTCACTTATTGAGATATGTCATATGAAATTATCTATGAATTTTCATGACAGAATTCTTACCTTGTTGTCAATTTCTTCGACCTTGACCTTGGTTTCTTCAAGATCTTTCTTCACCACATCCACACGTTTTGTGACAGTTTTAATTCCAGTTTTGACTGTTTTTATTTCTTTGTCATGCCTGTCAACTGTTGTCTTCATCCCTTTGACTTCCTTTTCTGTATTTGTGACTTTCTTGTCAAGGGTATTGACCTTTTGTTTGGTTTGTATGACATCTGTGACAATACCTTCCATACTAAAAATAAACAGGGGGGCAAATGCAAGTGTAAACCATTTGGTAACAAGTTATCTTGTGAACATGTGTGAAAAAAGAGGTACTTAGTTTACATCTACAAGAAGTAACAGATATGGAACCTTGACAAGTAAATTACATTTGATGTTCAATTGTCAACGGTAATATAAACAATAATTTGCAACTTATCAAATTATTTGATATTTTCGAAATTATCAAGTCGTATTATTACCAAAATATCTAAGACATATTATACCTGATTCCATCCATTGCGTTAACAATAGAAGTGCCTATGACTTTCAGATAGGAAGCTCTTCCTTCTTGCTGCAATTCCTCAAAGTATTTGCGATGAGGTTTGAGAGAGTCTACACCATACTTAGCACCCAAGGTTTGGATGGCGTCTAACAGTTGGTACTGATAACTCGGCTCTTTAAAATCTTTTGACAGAAGGATGAGCTCTTTCATAATAGTATCCACCAATGCCTGTAGATATAAAATGGATTATTTTTGTTAATCTCTTAAGCATGAGTCAGTGTGAAGTATGTTATACGAAATATGTTCAGGTTATCAGACGAAAAATGAAATGAGACAGGAAACACAATAAAAAAGTAGGAAGGTTCAAAGTGTTTTCAGATATAACATTCAACCCGGGAACAATATGCAATTGTAAAAGTTTTTGATTTTTCTTATAATCAAGGAAAGCATAATAAGCATTTCAAAGCACATTTGTTTCACCTAAATCCTAATAAAAATCTAAAAGGTTTGCAATACACAGTAAAATATTCAATAAACGATTTGTGCAGTCCTCAAGTAACATTTCAACACCATGCATGTATCATATTACTTAAACGTGATACAAATCTCGCAAATTTGTTCTGGGTGTGCACACCAATTTAAAAACAAACCAAACAATTGTTGGGCAAGTTGTTGCACAGAAACTAATCAAAACTGTGCATGTGTAGTCTCATTAAATATGCATAAATACATCTGATCAAATTTGCCTGACACTTGGCAAGGTGAATGAAAATACCAAATTTGGTTAAAATTGAACATTTTAGGTGATTTATTGCACAAAAACGAATTCATCGCGAACAAGTGGGTAACCCCATTTATAACGCCAAAATATATGTGCATCGAATTAGCCATTGAACTTAGCCTGACAAAGCCAACATAAATGTCCACATCAAATTTGGTTGAAATTAAACCTGTAAGGGGAGTTATTGCACGGAAACGAAATGTGACAGACTGACAGATGTACAGGCAGACACACTCAAATTTATTTAAGGGATATAGAGGTAATGGTTCAGCTCGAGTACTCTGATTACATTTTGTAACTGTCAACACAATATAACTTGTTTCCTTCTGAGCTATTGTGAAAAGTAATAATGATGTCTTAATCTCTTTATATCATATAAAACATGTAGGAGCAGTACCAGGAGCCAAAAATATACGGTAAACGTACATATCGGGTATATTTGCTGTTTTCTAAATTTAGCGTTTTTAAATGTAAGCTTTTAATTCTGAGCAAAATAATGATTACTATTCGAAGCTTCTGTATCTTGTTGTCGATTGCATATATTGTGAGTACAACAACTATTAAAATGCAAATCTATTGAATTTTGATAATATGTTGAAATTTTATTTAGCTGAAGCAATTATGATTATAGTAATCACAAACCTCTTTCTTCAGTCCCAGGTTGACGGCTACCACCTGTATTCCTGATGCGTACATCTGGTCTATTTCTTGATTTCTTAGAACATGTTCAATGATGTTATCTCCAAACAGCTCTGGTCTTTTTGGTATAATTTCACTCAAAGCCGTCAATATGAAGTACTGGAGTTTTTTCTTCTCCAATAACGTGACCATAAAGTCAACATGATGTTGGGTGAAGAGCTACATGTAGAATGGTGAAAAAAACAAGAACAGAAATCAAGCTTATTGTGTGGTGACAAATTAGCATAATTGTAACATGTGTTATTTTAACGAACCACCTTTATTCTTTCATGTATAATTCTACAAATATAAAATGTTAGAATATATTTCATAATACATTTAAGTTATTTGTAGCTCATATACCTTATAACAGCTACTGTGGTGAATGTAACATATAACAGCTACTGTGGTGAATGTAACATAAAAACAGCTAATTTGGTGATGGTAACGTATAACAGCTACTGTGGTGAATGTAACATATAACAGCTACTGTGGTGAATGTAACATATAATAGCTACTGTGGTGAATGTAACATATAACAGCTACTGTGGTGATGGTAACATATAACAGCTACTGTGGTGAGTGTAACATATAACAGCTACTGTGGTTAATGTAACATATAACAGCTACTGTGGTGAATGTAACATATAACAGCCACTGTGGTGAATGCAACATATAACAGCTGTTTTGTCCTTCTAGGATTCATCGCTGATAATAAGGGCAAAATAGTTGGAAATCCAAAAAACATAGGGGCAGGTGTGTAAAAACACAGCTACATTTATGAATTTCAAAATTTAGAGGAGCACTGGTTCATTTCAGATTAAAAATAAAAATTCTGTGAAGTATGTATATTATGAACCTGACTTATTATGAAAGTGATACTGGATAGTCATTCCAGACGTTACAGAAATTTGCCAGTTAGCCAGATTACCTCTTGCAGTTACTATGAAATATTTTCAGCATTCAAATTTAAAACAAGAGATCCAAGAGGGATCTTGGCGCCCACCTTTGCACCATCTTCATTAGTTCTATGTCAGTTCAATCTTTTCTCTTCTTTCCTCTAATCTGTATGATCGAGTCATGTTAACAGTAAATGCACCTTGAGGTAACTTTTGATCTAAACTTAGTACTGATGTGTATGAAAGCCAACCTTCAAAGTGAGTTTGTCATTTCACATACTTACTAGTCCAGTACTTAATGTGAAAGAAATAAAATCGATCATTGCAATATGAGAAAGATCTGTTTAGTTCTTCTTTTAATCCATTTTGTTTTAATGATCAGTCTCAAAATATAACATACACAACGAGGGATCAAGGGGAACCGACATTTACAATCTAAGAAAGATCTCTCCCGTACTTCCCGAGAAATAGCGATAACAAACATTCAATATCAAAATCCAAGATGGCTGCCTGTCGGCCATGTTGTTTATCCAATCAGTCTCAAAGATTGCCCTGCACAGCTTAGGACCAAGAGGAACCTACATATGAAATTTGAGAGCGATCCCTCTAGAACTTCTTGAGAAATAGCGATAACAAACTTTCAATATCAAAATCCAAGATGGCTGACTTTCGGCCATGTTGTTTATCTGATAAGTCTCAAAAGTTGCCCTGCACAGCTTAGGACCAAGGAAAACCTACATATAAAATTTGAGAAAGATCCCTATGGTACCTCTTGAGAAATAGCGATAACAAACTATCAATATCAAAATCCAAGATGGCTGCCTGTCGGTCATGTTATTTATCCGATCAGTCTCAAAAGTTGCCCTGCACAGCTTTGGATTAAGGGGAACCTAAATATAAATTTCGAGAAAAAATTCCTCTCGTGCTTCTTGAGAAATAGCGATAACAAACTTTCAACAACAAAATCCAAGATGGCTGCCTGTCGGCCATGTTGTTTATCCGATCAGTCTCAAAAGGTGCCCTGCACAAATAATAACCAAGGGGAACCTACATATCAAATTTTAAAAAGATCCCTCAAGTGATTCTGGAGAAATAGCGATAACAAACTTTCACTATCAACTTTCACTATCAAAATCCAATATGGCTGCCTGTCGTTTAAGTTGTTTAAGGACGGACGGACCACGGACCACGGACGAAGGGTGATTTGAACAGCCCACTATCAGATGATGGTGGCCTAAATAGCAATGTAAGTTCCTTACATTTAAGTCACAATAACAAAATGTGAAGGATTCATTTCAAGGAAATGCAACCCTCCCCCTACACATGCATATACACACACACAAAATCCCATAACTGTCCTCTCCAGGTGTATGTCATGAAAGTTTATATCAGCAAAATGGTAAAGATTATTTTCAACTGAGGGTTATTCTAATATAAAGAGAAATTCTGACCAGTCTTACCTCGCCCTGTTTCACTGCCATTGCTTTTAATAGCGTACAGTTACTATACTCCATGCTAATATCACCCCAACCGTTTTCCTCCAATGCTGTCATGACATTGTAGAAGTCCTGCTTTGTAAACCCATCACTCTCCTCGTAGGGCTTTGTTAGTGCACCTTTTATAAACAATAACAAACACAGATTTTTAAGATTTACAGATGTATTATAAAATAAATCACTAAATATTTACATTACAAAACTGTTCTACACATAATATAATTTACATAGCATAGCAAACACATATACTTAACTAAACAAAACATAGAACAAAATCAAACAAACAACACATAAAACATGATGTAATGCAGAGTATGAATTAGAGATTCGTTTTGGTGAAAAAAAACATATGTTTCCCCTTTAACAGTTTAAAAGTTAGGTCCAGGACAAGATATTCCTAAAAACTTTGCACTTATTTGACCTTTGACCTCAAGGTCAAGGTCAAAATGACCTCACGATAGTGCACTATACATCGTCTGTGGGTGATGTAGATATTATTAGGATGTCTTTAACTTAGCACTTATTTGACCGTATTATTAGAGGAACTGCCTACTGCTAAATTATAAAATCCATATATGAACAAGCTAGTTCTAATTGTAATGGAGACTATAACAGAAGTCCTTAAAACTGACCCCATTGTCGCAAATGATGCTTGGATTGAATTTACAATGGCACCATATTTATGCTTGCATAATTAGTTTAAGCAAAATTAGACACAGTCAGGGGCCTTTGGCATCACCTTGGCGTACACCTTTAAATGTTTGAAACAATCTGACTCTTTTGACCTTTAACCTTGATGTAAAGGCCACAGTGATATAAAGACGCTGCACTGCACATCGGCTATGGGTGCTGCAGGTATACTGCAAGTTTCATCAAGATATCTTTATTGGAATAAAAGTTACAGAGCGGACAAGATGTTCATGAAAAATTAGCACATATTTGACCTTTGGGTCAAGGTCACAATGACCTAATGACAGTGCAATGCACATCATCTGTTTATGATGCAGTTTCACTGCAAGTTTTATCAAGATATCTTTAACAGTTTTAAAGTTACGGCCCGGACAAGATCATAAGAACCACCAGAACCAGTACTAATACAATATGTCTAGATCTCAGTTCATTCGAAGGGGAGACATAATGAATAATGAATAACAAATAATGTCCTTACAAAGTACTTCACTGATACTTTATATACTTGAAATAAAACTAATATTTATATAAATATATTTATTACCCTGATGCCACATTGATCAAAATGGATGAAAATGAAAAACTAACCAAAGACAAATTATTTATATCCAACAAACTATACATTATCAATTAAAGGTGTGCCTCCCTATCATCCAATGTTCTTCTGGTTTGAACTTTATTTTATTTTAATACATTTTAGCAAAAAAATATCCTGAACATAATGACAAACGATAATGGAATTTAGAAACAAGTTGTAAAACGTCATAAGATCTGTTTCCTGATTTGTCTTCAAGGCACGACCAAAATAACTTGAAAGATAGTTATGTAACAAGCACAGAAATAAGGATAAACACTAATCAAATTATTTCCAAATCATTTCAGGTGGTAGTTGGTTTGACCCTTTCACCCCTACGTAACTTTAGTTAACTATACCAAGCATTGATCAGGATGAGTTCATTGTGATCAACAGTGCTGAAAAGATCAAATCACTTGATTATCAATACAACTATTACAATGAAAAGGTTACTTACTTATGGCATCACTGGAACTTGTTCTTTTGTACCATTCCACAAGAGTGCTCAGCTGACCATCTAAAAGTGTGGGATCAGTTGAACTGATTTGCCTAATAATTGATGAACTTGTATTCCTAAGCTGTTCCTCCTCGTGCTCCATCTGTTTCAATATGGCTGGTATCAGTGGCTTACAAGGTCCTGAATTCTGGCTGGAAACATGCTGGTAGGACAGAAAAGTAATGTTTTATTCACTGATCAAATTGAAAACGATTCGTACTCAGATTACTTAAGACATATTCACAAGAGTGATACACGATATACGGACTAATAAAATCTATTACCTGCTGTAACTGAGCGAGATTGGGTTATCTCAGTCGAGGGTTAAGATTCTGTAACAAAATCCCAACCGAGGCGTAAGCCGAGGTTGCATGTTATATATAATTACATAATCTTAGCCCGAGGCTGAGATATTCCGATCTTGCTCAGTTACAGGTAAAAGTTTTTTTTTCTTGCAACTTTTAGTTATTTTTCTTTATTCAATTTCGCTAAAAACTAGAAGTATCCCACCTTGGGCCTCAAGTGATAATGACCTCTTCATTACTACATTTGATTGCTTCCATGCTAAAAACATAGTATGTCCTTACATAGATTACAACGTATTTCGCAGTGTTGATTATATTTTATCTACAACATCAAATATCTAACAACATCAAAACTATACATATAACGACAAAACAGAACATTTAAAATGCAAATTGTCTATTTCAAGTAGTTAACGCGGATACATACATCGCAGTGTACAAATTCTGCGAAATGTCACGTAAAGGTACAAGACAGATCGGACGAGATAGAAAAATCTGGCATGGGGTATGACGTGGGATATCTCTGTCTGAGGTGCGATAATTGTTTATCAATCTATCAAGTTTTATTGGAAAATGTTGGGCATTCATAGTTATGGTCAAGGTAGGCATTGTAATAAAACTTATCTAAAGGGTAGGGTCACAATGTTAAAAGAACACTGACTGGTCAGCAAGGGTTTCTCCATGTCAGTCTATATCCCCATCCCCCTTCATGGTCTAGTTGTTATAGAAGTGACATCGATCTTAAATATTCTAAACCCCCAATTGGAAATCTACATGTCACACTGTACCTTTTTTTCTTCTTGGTTTCGAAATAAGGACTGTATCCTCTGGCCAATGGTCGTTTTTTGGTAACAGTGAGATTAACCTTATTTTTTTTTTGACCCTGAATCTCCTAAAATTATAGAGTGGATGAACAGACAGACGAACACCAGGATTACTTCAATGGCCAAATCAAGCATTGCAATGATCTTATTTTGAACCCAGTTCCTTATCAATTGTAGAATACAGGGCCTGTATTCATGATACTATGCCCATACTCAAACTCATTATTTGTGGTCAAGCCAAATTTCTTGTTCTGATGATCAATTAAATTAAGAAACTCATTTTATCAATGATTTGTAATAATGTTGAAGACACCTCAACATTGTTTCAATTTAAAATGTTAACACATTATTTAATTCACTGTGATTAAAATGAGTTGCAAGAAAATTGGTTTGAGCACAGAATCAATGCTTGAGCATGAGAACAGTTTCGTGAATACGGATCCTGGGAGCAGTTTATCAGCCAATGTTTAGAGGAACACATTGTAACTGTTCATTCCAGTATTCTTTAAAAAGTGCATAAACTCCACAATCAAATAGGTTTTATACATTATATCAATTTTAATTGAACAGCATTTATAATGAAACCAGCTAAAATGTACCTTTTGTACGAACTCTAACAAGAACTGTGTAGCTACAGTGCCATAGATGGTTAGGTTTCCATTTTCCATATCTATGTAGTCCAAGCCTTGTGTCTGCATAGTCCATAGAAACATCTTTATGAAGGTTTCATTGACGTCATCAGGTATTTCCTTTCCCGTGCTGAAATTGATTCAAACAAAATACACCTTGTGTTACCATGTTAGATCAAACTGTGCAAAAGATGAAGTCCTTTTAGATTTCCAAGGACCGTATTGTATCATATTAATGCTTTACTTCTACTCATGGGTTTTTGCCATTAAAACATATGTGAACACATAATACTCATGTGACAGTTCACTAATCATTTTTTGAATATTATTGTCTTTAGGGATATTTGGGATTTGTTTTTGATATAGAAATACAAATAATGAAATTAACAAGCACTTCAAGATCATCAAAGTTTTTTTTTGTAATATTTTTTTTGTTCTCTTCCTGAACAAGCTTATGTGCAGGTGCTTTAAGATAATGCAAACCGAGCTGCAACATGAACTTTGCTACATTTTCTTTTCTTCCACAAACCCATAGGTTTCCTCACTCCAAACTTATTGGAGAAACATCCTAAGAGTTTGTAAAACCTTTTGGTTAACCACTTGTGAGTAACACCCTTGACGTGATTTCCTTGGACAGTCTTCTTATTATGACATCAAGTAACATGCCTTGTGATGTCGTCTATCACTATGACGTCATAGTTAATGATAATTGTTACCTGGTGACATAGTTCTAAATATCATATTTGAAATGTCTTGGGAGAAAATGATCCCAGTAAACCTTGTGTCTTTCTGCAATTTGAAAATTAACAAGCTCTAGTTAGATAACCCTGACAAACGATAGTCACCCGTTGGGATACCTTTATATCCATCTCAAATTCAAAAAATATAACAAGGAACAGAGAGGATCATGCATTCAAAGTTTCATCATGAAACATATTTAGCTCCCTGGTTGGCTTTGCTTTTTCTGATCCATCTGAATTGGATCATATGTATGACTAGAAAAAATGGGGATCAAGCCTACAAAACTGGACATGATCCCTGCTGTAATTTCAGAAATGGTGTGCACAAAATTTGTCTATTGTGAACACAAATATAAAATTTCTTTTTGCAGAAGGACTGATCACTGACTGACTGATCCTGAATAAGGGGTGGATGCTTAACCATCGATGAAAAGTATTTTGCGCACTAAAATTGGGGAGGATTTCGCGCAAATATGCTTTGTAGTAATAAAATCATATGATTCCAAACTGGATTCTTTACTATACTTCAAATTCTGCAATTGGTTATATGATCAATAAGACCAGATGTTCATAATAGGCTTCATGTCCAATCTTTTCATTGGGTCTTATTGTTGAAATTTTCCGAATCTGATGTTTATTCAATCAATAACTGTCATGGAGTTGACAATGAAAATGCCATGGTGTTTTTTGCTGTATTGATATCTCATATGGGCCTGACCAGTGATGAAAAAAGTACAAAGATTCATGAATCTGGACGTTTCTTACAATAAGAAGTATAAACAAGAGGCCCAAGAGGGCCTGTATCGCTCACCTGAATTTTTAAGCAGTCATAGCAAAATATTCTCGTTAAATATTATATTGCACTAAAAATATTTCCCTCGCAAACTTTGTTGGCTCCATCTGTTGAAACTACCAGCAAAATATCATTATAAGATTCTATGCTTTTTTATTCTTCTTCAGAAGTTCCTTGACATCTTTTTTCCTGTGACCTTGTAAGTAGGTCAATGTCATCTTCCTTCTCAAATTGGTAAGCTCTATTCCAAAAAGCTACCAGCCAAATCTAATAAATCCATTTCTTTTAGTTCTTTAGAACAAATCCTTTAAAATGTTGTTGACCTCTGCGACCTCTAAAGTAGGTTGAGGTCATTTTCATTCGCAAACTTTGGTGAGCTCTATCCCAGGAAGTCACCAGCTTAATATTATGAATTTATGCCTTTTACCCCTTAGGCTGCTACATTGATTTCTATGTAAAGGGACGCCACTGCTGAATTAATTATTGAAATATAAATTAATTTACTTAATTTTTCAAATGTGCATGACTTGAAAAATATTTGTTACCATTTGTGAATAAAAGTTATAGGAAAATTGTTTGTTATTGTCTCTAGTTTATATTAACGTTTTCGATTCTAAAGTTGCTTCAGTATTTACCTGTACAGGTGGTAATAACGGTAAGAAAAGGTGAAACTTTTAATTAAGTGGATTTAAGGTAATAGGAGGGTATTTATAAACGGAAATAGGAAGTATATCTCTAGTTAATAATCCAATGTAGGGAGACAGTATCACGATTTCCGCATATTCTGATGTTTAATATTAAACTGATGAATATTGTATGTTTATTATTGACAGAACTGTGTGTTCTCTCAAAATTAAATTATTTCAAAGCAATCCAGGCATTAAATCCGTGGGTTTTTTTTATCAATGAGTCACATGTGTTCATTTTTCTATACTTCAGGAAACCGGCTACCTATTTCAATACTATAAAGTTTTTCAAGAAAGATAACTCATTCATGCAATTGCTTTGTGTACATGTTTTTATCATAAAATGTCAATTTTTAATCGTTTATAGATAATTGATTTTACACAATTTCAGCCTTTATTAAATTGATATATGTTAATACAATACTAATCTATGTCAGTATCATTTTTATTGACATTATTTTGCAATTTTGTTTGTCTTTTAGGTTATTTTTTTTCAAAATTCACCCCTTTTTACATATATTTCCCTTTAAAATCCTTAAAATTTTGACAACCTATATTTTTTTGGTGGCAGAAAATGTTCTTTTCTTCAAAGCAATATAACAACAAAATTTGAAGAAATTCTACTGAGAAATGATTGCACAATCCTATTACCTTAAGCACCAGAAAGATCATTTTAAAATTGTTCTTGTAAGCAAATGTGATTGGAAAATGATAGCAGAGATTATAAATTTCTTTTATGACATAAGACGCTGTACATTTACACGGAGATTTTCAGGTAAAAGGTCAGATATTTCATCAAGAATTGAATGCCATTTGCTACAGGTTTCAGGTCGTCATTTTATATACTTATTGTCACAGTCGCCATGAAGATATATCTACATATATCTACGGTCTGCGTTCTTTTCATGTGTGCGTAGGGCACAAAGCCGTCCATTGGAAAGTTACACTGAAGAATTTCCACATCAACCATGTCAAACCCTTTAAAACCTTTATTATCATCGTAGGTGACACTGGAGAATAAATGTTTACCATATTATTTATCACTTCAATTTACATGTCCGCTATTTTTAAGACGTTTTTCCCGATTTGAAATTCTCTCGCACACATTGATTTTTACTAGGGTACATTGCCAGGAATATTGAAAGTAATGACATAAAGACAATCAGGACCCTTCTACTATATGCTCTCCGGTTTGGTATTGCAACAGTCCACTTTCACACTTCCTGTTTACTGATCAAAAACCTACAGAGCTCGCACCACTATTGTGGTGTGTAGCACTGACGGCCTGACTTTTCGAAACCCCTAATATGGTGCGTAGCAGCCTAAGGGTTAATTCTTCAACAGAAGTAGTTTGAACCATTTGACATATTTGAACGCTGTGAACTTGAAGTAAGTCAAGGTCATTTTCATTCGCAAACTTTGTTTGGCTCTTTTGCAGGAAATAACCAGCCAAATAGTAAGGTTCTATACCTTCCAGTTCTTCAGAAGAAATTGTTCTAAGCGTTAGACATATCTGACTCCTGTGACCTTGAAAGTCGGTCAAGGTCATTTTCATTCTCAAACTTTGTTGGGCTCTTTCCTAGGAAGTCACCAGCCAAATATTTAGGTTCTATAATTCTCAGTTCTTCAGTAAAAGTCGTTCTAAGAATTAGACATATCTGATGACTACTGTGACCTTGAAAGTAGGTCAAGGTCGTTTTCGTTTTCATTTTTATTCGCAAACTTTGTTCGGCTTATTCCATGGAAGCTACCTAATTGTTATGTCTCAAAACCTTTCAGTATTTCAGAAGAAGTTGTTTGAAGGTTTTATATATTTGACCCCTGTGACCTTGAAAGTAGGTCAAATTCTGTTTTTTTCGTAAACTTTGTCAGGCTCCATATAAGGTAGCCACCAGCCAATGATCATGACTCTATGCCTTCTGGTTCTTCAAAAGAAGTCGTTTAAAGGAAAGTTGACGGACACCGGCCAGACACAGGACAGACGACAGATGCCGCGCCATGGCATAAGCTCAGCTGCCCTTTGGGCAGGTGAGCTAAAAAGGAAATATGAACTAACATATCTGGTTTCTAATGTGTCAAATTGAGTATTTATTTCTCTTTAGAGAACACATTAATCCTTTATATACCTGTAGGCGGTTAAGCTTTTCTTCATGACATTGCTCCCACATCTCTTTGAGTAAGCGTGATGCCAAATATAATCTCTGTCGAAAAGCAGCACAGAAAATCTCTTGATAATGTCAGGGATGACGTCCTTGTTAGCCTGAAAATCACAGATTAGAAGTTTATACATGTTTATGCAATTTTCCAATATAATTTTCTAGTTTTAAACTTCTACACAAACACAACTCCAGATATTTATTAATCATGGCTTCTATATAATTACTTAATTTACATGACATGGATATACTGTAAACAATTTAATTTCACAGATATGTTATACAATTAGGGAAAATAAAATATTCATCTTGCATAAACGAAAGTTGACCAAAAAATGCATTTGTATCATGTAAATATAAGTAGGTTTTTTGAAGTTTGACAGCCAGCCCCACTGAATCTATATTCATCACAGTCATAATATCCCCTCATTAATTGAATCATTCAGGTGCGATAAAAATGAACAGCATAGCATTCTCCATTCACCCCTAAGGTCACATTTGAACCTTACCAAATCAAAGACTGGGCAAGGCTAGTTTAAAAATGTAGGGGTGAATGAGTTAAAGAAAGTTTCCTTCAGTGTCAACCTATTTTAGTAATATGGTAATTAAAATGATACTGTAACAGATGGTTGTTCAAGTGCTTACTTACTAGACAATGTGATTGATCTAAACCAATCCAGAAATCATGATTGAGATGCATTATGCTTATTATTGAACTTGAGATAGTTAATGGACTTTATCCCTCACTTCCAACTTGTTGAAATAAACCTGCTAGGAGATGGCAAATATGTTTGCTTAGCCACTAGAAGGTATAACAACCTAGACATCATTTAATTGGTCATTCTTCTAATTACGACATCGGTATAACAGCCTAAACGTCATTTCTTTGGTCATTCTTCTAATTATGACATCGATATAACAGCCTAAACGTCATTTCTTTGGTCATTCTTCTAATTATGACATCGGTATAACAGCCTAAACGTCATTTCTTTGGTCATTCTTCTAATTATGACATCAGGATAACAGCCTAAACGTCATTTCTTTGGTCATTCTTCTAATTATGACATCAGGATAACAGCCTAAACGTCATTTCTTTGGTGATTCTTCTAATTATGACATCAGGATAACAGCCAAAACGTCATTTCTTTGGTCATTCTTCTAATTATTACCTCGGTATAACAGCCTAAACGTCATTTCTTGGGTCGTTCTTTTAATTATGACATCGGTATAACAGCCTACACGTCATTTCTTTGGTCGTTCTTCTAATTATGCCATCGGTATAACAGCCTAAACGTCATTTCTTGGGTCGTTCTTTTAATTATGACATCGGTATAACAGCCTTCACGTCATTTCTTTGGTCGTTCTTCTAATTATGACATCGGTATAACAGCCTAAACGTCATTTCTTTGGTCGTTCTTTTAATTATGACATCGGTATAACAGCCTACACGTCATTTCTTTGGTCGTTCTTCTAATTATGACATCGGTATAACAGCCTAAACGTCATTTCTTTGGTCATTCTTCTAATTAAGACATCAAGTAACAACGCTTTGCAACGTTATCTTAACCTTTGACATTAGTTGATTTTCAAAATGTAATAAAAAATTAACTAACATGAGTAAGTTAGAAACGACAAGTATCATTACCAACCGACACTCATTGGGGAACCCCTATTTAATTTACACATAAAAACATATAGTGTAGAATAGTTCACCACGTACCTCAAAAGTGACATAATTGAAGAATACTTGAATAAAACCATTGAGTCTTTCCGATCTTTTCTCCATCATGGTAATGGCCAGTAAAGCCATGTCTCCATTCAGCTTCTCTGGAATTTTGGCAATTCTGAAAACCATAGACAACATCCTCCTCCTTTTACTGAATGCTTAGAATGCAGTCACCCTGAAGGGCCAAGTCAGATAACATTGTCTCTTTGTGTTATCATTATTTCAACTTTATTCAAAAAGTAACTGGTGAAATTTTAAAAGGAGGATATTAGATATCATATACAGCAAGGGCTATTATAGAAATAGACATATAGAAGAGGGCATAGAGGCAATTATATTAGTTTGCCCCCCCCCCCTTCCAAGACCCACAATTGCATAATGCCCCACTAAATATATGTTACATTATTAAGATCCCACCACCCTCATCACATGCCCTTCTATCTCTTCTCCATCTCCATATCATGTTTTATATTCATATTTGAAACAGCCATTATACAAATTAACTAAATAATTCAGCTTTAATTGCTTTAAAAATGCCTTGGTTCAAGAAACAGAAATGCAACTGTTACAAATCTTGCTTTTATCATTGTCTACGGTGTATTATATATATGCATATATATTTTATGACTATTTCAATAGAGCATAAACACATCAATGGCACCCTCACTTTTAAGATTTCAAAACATATCGTGAGTGTGGAAAATATATTTTGGGTTTATTTTTGGATTTCACAAATTATGTTGTCAGTTAATCTTTACTGATAAAATAAAATTTTACATAAAATGTTTGAAAATGAGAGAAAAACGTGGTATCAAGTCAAACTTGACATCAAAAGAGAGTGTATTTCGGCATTTTCAGTTGCTTAAATTGTGAGTGACATTCCAATTCAAAATCTGTGTGAAGTTTGGCAAAAGAGATCTGTTATTTCTTTGGACTGAAAATGTTTTTTCTCCATGATATTACAAAATATTGAAATGTAGTAAATAGAGATTTAAGACAAAATCCACCAACTAGGCCTACATCATACATACTTATACTAGACCTACATCATACGTACTTATACTAGGCCTACATCATACATACTAACTAGGCCTACATCATACATACTTACTAGGCCTACATCATATGTACTTATACTAGACCTACATCAAACGTACTTACTAGACCTACATCATACGTACTTATACTAGACCTACATCATGCATACTTATACTAGACCTACATCATACGTCCTTACTAGGCTTTCATCATACATACTTAATAGGCCTACATCATACATACTTATACAAGACCTACATCATACATACTTATACTAGACCTTCATCATACGTACTTATACTAGACCTACATCATAAGTAGTTACTAGGGCTACATCATACATACTTATACTAGACCTACATCATACGTACTCATACTAGGCCCACATCATGCATACTTATACTAGACCTACATCATACATACTTATACTAGGCCTACATCATACATACTTATACTAGACCTACATCATACGTCCTTACTAGGCTTACATCATACATACTTAATAGGCCTACATCATACATACTTATACTAGACCTATATCATACATACTAACTAAGCCTACATATCATACGTACTTATACTAGACCTACATCATACGTACTTAAACTAGACCTACATCATACATACTTACTTTAAGGCCTACATCATACGTACTTGCACCCGTGATCGAAGCAGAACTTTACAAGTCTGTTTTTTGTATTGTATCAATTAGACCATATCATACTTAGTCATTCTCATAATTTGATGGTATTTTTTTTGCCATTTTCTTTGCATAGTCTTATTGTAACACGCTGGAGTCGAGAGCTCAATCCTACTGCTAGAATGTTCAGAATAGTTGTGTAAGTCTTCTACTGATTGCTGTTCGTTAGAACATTTTTTCATATACAATTTTACCAAACACTTAAACCTAAAACAATAGAATTAAAATTGACTAATACATGTATTCCAAGAAATTTGACATGAAGATTTTCATGAAAGATATGTTCAAGATATGTTCAAAATACTACTGGACAGAAATGTTTCATAACAGTTATAGCTATAATTAGTGCCAAGGTGCTTAAAAAATTGCTCTAAAGGGGGGGGGGGGCTTATTAGAATCATAAAATAAGACTTTTTAGAGTCATGATAGAAAGAGTTAGGCAACTTTAGCCATTGTTATCACCAAAATACATTATATTTTTACATTCCAAGTCTGGAAATCAAATGTCTCATTCACTTCACAGAAGTCCTGCCATGATCACCAGATATAAATCATAGCTCTAAAGTGTAGGTACTATAACTTACTGACTGGGCCAGGTCAGTGGTGGGAGGGGGAGGGGTCTATATAACTTCAATTCCTCACGAAAAAGAGGAAGGTACACTTATAGGGGGAAGGGTGCTTATTAAAGTGAATGCGGTAATACATAAATGTTCTTTACATATTCTCATTAATTAAAAAAACCCACCCATAACAGTCATGTTTACCTGGCTGTTCTCATCCTTGCAGTGCAGGAACTTTTTTACCATATTAAGTATTGTCTCAATGATGACTATTGTATTATTTGCATGGTACCTACATGATTCAAAATTTGCACTGTCAAGCTTTAAACATATATAAAGGTATAATCAGAGCATCTAGCTTGCAGGATGTCAAATGAAAACAACTGTAAAGTACCAGAACACATTGGGTAAAAACAAATGTAAAGCTCCATGGTACCATTGAGTAAAATCAAATGTAAACAAATGTAAAGCACCACAATCCCATTGAGTAAAATCGAATGTAAAGCACCACAATATCATTGAGTAAAAACAAATGTAAAGCTCCATGATACCATTGAGTAAAAACAAATGTAAAGCACCACAATCCCATTGAGTAAAATCGAATGTAAGGCACCACAATATCATTGAGTAAAATTAACTGTAAAGCACCACAATCCTATTGAGTAAAATCAACTGTAAAGCACCACAATACCATTGAGTAAAAACTAATGTAAAGCATCACAGTACCATTGAGTAATTTGAGTTTCACATACTTGAACTGCTCCAGAAGTGTTTCGATGGTTTTCCCGCAGTAATCCAACAGCCTTTTAGTTTTGTCCTTATCGCCTGTCAGTTTAAGGTGGACCTCTCCTATAGGTTTAAGGATATCTATGGCATGTTGAAAATTTTGCTGTAAAGAAATAGTTTACTGTACATTTTGGTTTAGTTTTTCCAAAGGCAACAGATCATATAAAATTCATCAGTTTAAATTAATGTGAATAATTTAATTCGTACAGTAAATCAACTTGGACATCATGCAGTAGCCTTGTTCATTTTTTTTCAAAATGTTACTCATATGTAATAATGATAAAATCTTTGCCAATTTATTTCAATTACAAAAGCATTTTGCAATGGCTTCACTTTCATGTGTGTATTTGTCTGGTGAAAGAGTAATCCTTATGAAGCCTCATACAAATAAGGTGTGAAACAGCATCTTTCTAGCTCTGATGTGTAGGTATATTGGAAAAAAACAAAGCAGCTCTCCCTGAGGCATAATGCATTTAACTGTTCCTGTCACAGGTTTTGATTTCATGGCCAGATCTCTTTTAAGAGAAGCTTAGGTAAGGCCAGTTCAAGGAAGTAATTTGAAGAATATTTGAACAATTCTGGGCAGAAAATGGGTTCAGTGCTCGGAACAAAGAGGAATTAGTACTGGGAAATTTGTTGTATTACAATAAAGAAGTATCACTGACAAATTACATTTAGCAGGAATGCAATGTATATTGCAAGATTCATCTAGTCACTGCTATATAAAGAACAATGTTTCTAAAGCGTCCATTTCACCAAGGATTGTTTTTGTCCCTGTAGTACCCGATCCTTTTTTTGGTTGATCAGATGCATTTTTGAAAAAATAGTCAGGAACCTGCGAGCACTACCCTATACCTTCGGGGGAAGATCTGGCGCGATCGCCTCAGTCCTCCGAGGGTCGGGTACCGAAAAAGTGATCGGCTACTGTGTTTAAACATGTCTGGAGCTTTCGTATAGCCTCTGCCCCTATCTACAGAGTGTTGTGTATATTTTCTAGTGTAATAACATTTTGCTGTGCTATGACAGAACGAAGTTGTAGAGCTACAACAAGCCCCACCACTGCTTGTTGGTCCATGACCTTCACTGGCTGGTCAAAAAGTGATGAAAGGCTTCAATCTGGCTCAAATATATAGTTGGGACCCAAAAACACTGATCTCCGGACGATGTAGGCAAATTTGGTCGGCCGAATAACGTCTGAAGATCGTTTGAATCATCCAAAGATCATTTACTTTCGGCTTCCTGCGTCAACATACGCCTATATTTGTCCACTCTGGCGCAAAAAACGGTGGAAGAACAATGGACATTGGCCGCAGAAAGCGTCCTCTCTGCCGAACAAAGCGAGAAGATCGCTAACATGCGCGCAAGAAATGGGTCTCTGCTGAGCCTTTGCTGTGTAACTGCGGGTACTAGTGCATACTTTCACCCCGGAAACAAGTCGATCGCACGAGGAATGTCCGTGTTTCATCCCCCCGCCATTGGTCCATTGGTCGGGACTCAACCGGGTAAAAAAAGGGGACGATTGGAGGCGATTCAGGACGACAATCGGGGCGATAAAGATAAATGATTCATTGGGGACAATCAGGTCCAGATCAGGCCGATTGGAAAAAACAATCCTTAATGAAATGGCCCCTTAACCCAGACTGTTTCGCTGACATTCTGCCAGCTTGGTCACTGGTAACATTAGTGATATGGGAGTTACTTCCCCTTGCTAATAAAGAAGGAACAATTTGGTACATCACTATTTTGTTCGGTATCAGGGGGTGATCTGTTTTGAGAAGGATTAGTTTAAGGAAGTTCCACTTTACAAGGAAAAGATCTTACTTTCCAATTCCAAATCTTCTTGAATTTTCCCTCCCGCAGGGTGTAATAACATGCATATGCTCCATCCCCTGTGTCTGCTTCCATGAGTGCTTTTAGGATTTGAAACCAATTCAGTTCTGTTCCCTTCCTACAAAATTAAATCATTATTAATTACTTTACATACCACCCTTTTATTTGTTCAATTTTGTGCACATTGCTTGCTTAAATGTATAAAAGTGATTGTAAGCCTTTGTTGTTTGTTTCACAATTACAACCATTACTATTATCCATATGTTGTAAAGCACTTTAGAGTAATTTTACAAATTATATGGGTCGCTATATAAATGTTGTATATTATTATTATTATTATCATGGAGATCAATGAATTGTGATGTTTTGGTAAAACAAAAGTATAGTAAATAGGTTTGACTTTGAGGAACATTCCTTTCCCTAATCTCCTTGTGAACAAGTGGTCAGTGGATGTGTTTGGTGATATTGTATTCAATTTTGAAAGAAAATTTAAGGTTTCCAGTTCATTTATCAAGTTAACTGGCCACCTTGACCTTGACTTTTATGCCTTGCAGCCTTACACTTACAATGTATATCTCTATCTGAAAAAAACAACTAAAAAAACAACTAAACAGTTGAGGACTAATATTGTGATGATTTATTTATGATTGTCATAGCCTGATATATATTGTCACAACTAAATCTTGTTTTGCCCTTGACTTCTTTTCATTCTTTTCATATTATGAAAATAAATCAACTTTTTGATTTTGAATATTATTCAATATTTTAAATCAATATTGCGAAAAACACATAAATCGACATAAAGTTGATGTTCAGAGGGTCAAAAATGGGCCAAAACTTAGCTAGTCTTATTGGTGACTGAACACAGAAAGTATCTTGGATTTTTGTGTACTTAGAAGCTTAAGAATCACTAGAATATGTTGGCAGAACCTCCATCTGCTCCCTGAATATGCTTCCTGTTTGCAAAATTATAGTGTGTTGATATAAACATTATAGTGTGTTGAAATTAACAGTGTTCAGATTCCAGAAACAAACATTGTACAAAACCAGATATTTGTTTTTTCAGAGCTAAAACGTAGGTCTTCCGTTATAGCCAATTATTTGTTTCCCTTCTCTTGCAAAATAAAGTCACCCGAATAGAGCCAAAATAACCATGTAACTACAAATTTCTTTAATATATAAAGGTTAATAAAGGAACTTTCAACTACTTAAAAAGGGAATACATAAATTAATTAATACAGTTAAAAAGATATGATGCTGTGAGCAGAAGGCCACATACCTGGGTACTTTTACAGTTGTAAAATTAATTACAGTATAATTATAGTTTGCACTTATTAGACCTTTGACTTTGAGTACAAGGTTACAGTGACTGACAGTCACTACACATTGTCTGTGGTTAATGTAGGTATACTGATAGCTGTACCAAGATATCTTTTACAGTGAAAAAGTTCAGGCCTGGGCAAGATGTTCCTAAAAAGTATGAACTTGTATTAGTTGACCTTGAGATCAAAATCATAGTGACCTATTGACTTTACACTGCACATTGTTTGTGGGTGATGCAGGTATACTGCAAGATTCAGATATCTATAACAGTCTAAAGGTCATGGTTCTGACTAGAAATAATTGGCAGAACCTTAGAAGAACCAGCACTAACACAATGTTTCTCCCTTCATTTGAATGGGAAACATTATTAGGCTATTCATAGCCACCTTAATCTTCATTGTCACTTAGTAGACCCAAATCAAATGAGATATTCCTCTTCCAAATGGGCAACATACATGTCACTTTTTTTCAGAAATGATGTATAATCTTCAAGCGATACCCTCTGGAAATCAACTTTTTCATAAAATTTTAACCTATTTAAAGCTACTCTGACCTTGACCTTTGACCTAGTAACTTCAAAATCATTAGGTTTCTTCCTCTCCCTTCATTCACCCAAATTTGATTTACCTAAAATGAACTGTTTAAAGTTACTTAGCCACTGATAAGATTTTGTTTCAAACAGAGACATGGACAACTATGAGACAATTTTAAACTCCTAAAGACTTTTTTTAAGGTATCTTATTTAACATAGAATTTCTCAATTTTGCCCATTGGTGAAGCAGTCAAGATGCATGATTATTTGTGTAACACTTTGTAACATAGCAGCTGATAACTTACTGTGCACTGGCATTTTCAGTCATGATAGAACAGTATCCGTAAGCCCATACTATATTTCCTGGCTGCTTCCGTAACAGGTCGGTGATCACTGGTACAAGCTTTTCCACTAACTGAGGGTTATTCTAAACAGACAAAACCAGGGCTGTGTTTATTTGTGAAACAACAGAATAGATCAGAAAACCAGAAATTAATGACATGTGATGCCATAATACTTCCGTTTCCTACAAGCTACAGATTCACAAATCATCAATATTAACATATAGTAAAATAGTCTAGTATACTTGTCAGTAAACTGTCCGATATTCCAGTTGTCACCTTACATTGGATTGCTGGTAATCATTTGGAACAGAACACACAAATTAACTACATTCTTTGTATACCTCCTCTGGAGAACTATGTCTAAAGTTTCCTGCTTTAACTACACTCTTTGTATACCTTCTCTGGAGAACCATTTCTAAAGTTTCCTGATTTAACTAGTCTTTGTATACCTCCTCTGGAGAACTATGTCTTAAGTTTCCAGATTTAACTACAGTCTTTGTTTACCTCCTCTGGAGAACTATGTCTAAAGTTTCCTGATATAACTACAGTCTTTGTATACCTCCTCTGGAGAAGTATGTCTAAAGTTTCCTGATTTAACTACTCTTTGTATACCTCCTCTGGAGAACTATGTCTAAAGTTTCCTGATTTAACTACAGTCTTTGTATACCTCCTCTGGAGAACAATGCCTAAATTAAGTTTCCTGATTTAACTACAGTCTTTGTATACGTCCTCTTGAGAACTATGTCTAAATTAAGTTTCCTGATTTAACTAAAGTCTTTGTATACCTCATCTGGAGAACAATGTCTAAATTAAGTTTCCTGATTTAACTACAGTCTTTGTATACCTCCTCTAGAGAACTATGTCTAAATTAAGTTTCCTGATTTAACTACAGTCTTTGTTTACCTCCTCTGGAGAACTATGTCTAAAGTTTCCTGATTTAACTACAGTCTTTGTATACCTCCTCTGGAGAACTATGTCTAAAGTTTCCTGATTTAACTACAGTCTTTGTATACCTCCTCTGGAGAACTATGTCTAAAGTTTCCTGATTTAACTACAGTCTTTGTATACCTCCTCTGGAGAACTATGTCTAAAGTTTCCTGATTTAACTACAGTCTTTGTATACCTCCTCTGGAGAACTATGTCTAAAGTTTCCTGATTTAACTACAGTCTTTGTATACCTCCTCTGGAGAACTATGTCTAAAGTTTCCTGATTTAACTACAGTCTTTGTATACCTCCTCTGGAGAACTATGTCTAAAGTTTCCTGATTTAACTACAGTCTTTGTATACCTCCTCTGGAGAACTATGTCTAAAGTTTCCTGATTTAACTACAGTCTTTGTATACCTCCTCTGGAGAACTATGTCTAAAGTTTCCTGATTTAACTACAGTCTTTGTATACCTCCTCTGGAGAACTATGTCTAAAGTTTCCTGATTTAACTACAGTCTTTGTATACCTCCTCTGGAGAACTATGTCTAAAGTTTCCTGATTTAACTACAGTCTTTGTATACCTCCTCTGGAGAACTATGTCTAAAGTTTCCTGATTTAACTACAGTCTTTGTATACCTCCTCTGGAGAACTATGTCTAAAGTTTCCTGATTTAACTACAGTCTTTGTATACCTCCTCTGGAGAACTATGTCTAAAGTTTCCTGATTTAACTACAGTCTTTGTATACCTCCTCTGGAGAACTATGTCTAAAGTTTCCTGATTTAACTACAGTCTTTGTATACCTCCTCTGGAGAACTATGTCTAAAGTTTCCTGATTTAACTACAGTCTTTGTATACCTCCTCTGGAGAACTATGTCTAAAGTTTCCTGATTTAACTACAGTCTTTGTATACCTCCTCTGGAGAACTATGTCTAAAGTTTCCTGATTTAACTACAGTCTTTGTATACCTCCTCTGGAGAACTATGTCTAAAGTTTCCTGATTTAACTACAGTCTTTGTATACCTCCTCTGGAGAACTATGTCTAAAGTTTCCTGATTTAACTACAGTCTTTGTATACCTCCTCTGGAGAACTATGTCTAAAGTTTCCTGATTTAACTACAGTCTTTGTATACCTCCTCTGGAGAACTATGTCTAAAGTTTCCTGATTTAACTACAGTCTTTGTATACCTCCTCTGGAGAACTATGTCTAAAGTTTCCTGATTTAACTACAGTCTTTGTATACCTCCTCTGGAGAACTATGTCTAAAGTTTCCTGATTTAACTACAGTCTTTGTATACCTCCTCTGGAGAACTATGTCTAAAGTTTCCTGATTTAACTACAGTCTTTGTATACCTCCTCTGGAGAACTATGTCTAAAGTTTCCTGATTTAACTACAGTCTTTGTATACCTCCTCTGGAGAACTATGTCTAAAGTTTCCTGATTTAACTACAGTCTTTGTATACCTCCTCTGGAGAACTATGTCTAAAGTTTCCTGATTTAACTACAGTCTTTGTATACCTCCTCTGGAGAACTATGTCTAAAGTTTCCTGATTTAACTACAGTCTTTGTATACCTCCTCTGGAGAACTATGTCTAAAGTTTCCTGATTTAACTACAGTCTTTGTATACCTCCTCTGGAGAACTATGTCTAAAGTTTCCTGATTTAACTACAGTCTTTGTATACCTCCTCTGGAGAACTATGTCTAAAGTTTCCTGATTTAACTACAGTCTTTGTATACCTCCTCTGGAGAACTATGTCTAAAGTTTCCTGATTTAACTACAGTCTTTGTATACCTCCTCTGGAGAACTATGTCTAAAGTTTCCTGATTTAACTACAGTCTTTGTATACCTCCTCTGGAGAACTATGTCTAAAGTTTCCTGATTTAACTACAGTCTTTGTATACCTCCTCTGGAGAACTATGTCTAAAGTTTCCTGATTTAACTACAGTCTTTGTATACCTCCTCTGGAGAACTATGTCTAAAGTTTCCTGATTTAACTACAGTCTTTGTATACCTCCTCTGGAGAACTATGTCTAAAGTTTCCTGATTTAACTACAGTCTTTGTATACCTCCTCTGGAGAACTATGTCTAAAGTTTCCTGATTTAACTACAGTCTTTGTATACCTCCTCTGGAGAACTATGTCTAAAGTTTCCTGATTTAACTACAGTCTTTGTATACCTCCTCTGGAGAACTATGTCTAAAGTTTCCTGATTTAACTACAGTCTTTGTATACCTCCTCTGGAGAACTATGTCTAAAGTTTCCTGATTTAACTACAGTCTTTGTATACCTCCTCTGGAGAACTATGTCTAAAGTTTCCTGATTTAACTACAGTCTTTGTATACCTCCTCTGGAGAACTATGTCTAAAGTTTCCTGATTTAACTACAGTCTTTGTATACCTCCTCTGGAGAACTATGTCTAAAGTTTCCTGATTTAACTACAGTCTTTGTATACCTCCTCTGGAGAACTATGTCTAAAGTTTCCTGATTTAACTACAGTCTTTGTATACCTCCTCTGGAGAACTATGTCTAAAGTTTCCTGATTTAACTACAGTCTTTGTATACCTCCTCTGGAGAACTATGTCTAAAGTTTCCTGATTTAACTACAGTCTTTGTATACCTCCTCTGGAGAACTATGTCTAAAGTTTCCTGATTTAACTACAGTCTTTGTATACCTCCTCTGGAGAACTATGTCTAAAGTTTCCTGATTTAACTACAGTCTTTGTATACCTCCTCTGGAGAACTATGTCTAAAGTTTCCTGATTTAACTACAGTCTTTGTATACCTCCTCTGGAGAACTATGTCTAAAGTTTCCTGATTTAACTACAGTCTTTGTATACCTCCTCTGGAGAACTATGTCTAAAGTTTCCTGATTTAACTACAGTCTTTGTATACCTCCTCTGGAGAACTATGTCTAAAGTTTCCTGATTTAACTACAGTCTTTGTATACCTCCTCTGGAGAACTATGTCTAAAGTTTCCTGATTTAACTACAGTCTTTGTATACCTCCTCTGGAGAACTATGTCTAAAGTTTCCTGATTTAACTACAGTCTTTGTATACCTCCTCTGGAGAACTATGTCTAAAGTTTCCTGATTTAACTACAGTCTTTGTATACCTCCTCTGGAGAACTATGTCTAAAGTTTCCTGATTTAACTACAGTCTTTGTATACCTCCTCTGGAGAACTATGTCTAAAGTTTCCTGATTTAACTACAGTCTTTGTATACCTCCTCTGGAGAACTATGTCTAAAGTTTCCTGATTTAACTACAGTCTTTGTATACCTCCTCTGGAGAACTATGTCTAAAGTTTCCTGATTTAACTACAGTCTTTGTATACCTCCTCTGGAGAACTATGTCTAAAGTTTCCTGATTTAACTACAGTCTTTGTATACCTCCTCTGGAGAACTATGTCTAAAGTTTCCTGATTTAACTACAGTCTTTGTATACCTCCTCTGGAGAACTATGTCTAAAGTTTCCTGATTTAACTACAGTCTTTGTATACCTCCTCTGGAGAACTATGTCTAAAGTTTCCTGATTTAACTACAGTCTTTGTATACCTCCTCTGGAGAACTATGTCTAAAGTTTCCTGATTTAACTACAGTCTTTGTATACCTCCTCTGGAGAACTATGTCTAAAGTTTCCTGATTTAACTACAGTCTTTGTATACCTCCTCTGGAGAACTATGTCTAAAGTTTCCTGATTTAACTACAGTCTTTGTATACCTCCTCTGGAGAACTATGTCTAAAGTTTCCTGATTTAACTACAGTCTTTGTATACCTCCTCTGGAGAACTATGTCTAAAGTTTCCTGATTTAACTACAGTCTTTGTATACCTCCTCTGGAGAACTATGTCTAAAGTTTCCTGATTTAACTACAGTCTTTGTATACCTCCTCTGGAGAACTATGTCTAAAGTTTCCTGATTTAACTACAGTCTTTGTATACCTCCTCTGGAGAACTATGTCTAAAGTTTCCTGATTTAACTACAGTCTTTGTATACCTCCTCTGGAGAACTATGTCTAAAGTTTCCTGATTTAACTACAGTCTTTGTATACCTCCTCTGGAGAACTATGTCTAAAGTTTCCTGATTTAACTACAGTCTTTGTATACCTCCTCTGGAGAACTATGTCTAAAGTTTCCTGATTTAACTACAGTCTTTGTATACCTCCTCTGGAGAACTATGTCTAAAGTTTCCTGATTTAACTACAGTCTTTGTATACCTCCTCTGGAGAACTATGTCTAAAGTTTCCTGATTTAACTACAGTCTTTGTATACCTCCTCTGGAGAACTATGTCTAAAGTTTCCTGATTTAACTACAGTCTTTGTATACCTCCTCTGGAGAACTATGTCTAAAGTTTCCTGATTTAACTACAGTCTTTGTATACCTCCTCTGGAGAACTATGTCTAAAGTTTCCTGATTTAACTACAGTCTTTGTATACCTCCTCTGGAGAACTATGTCTAAAGTTTCCTGATTTAACTACAGTCTTTGTATACCTCCTCTGGAGAACTATGTCTAAAGTTTCCTGATTTAACTACAGTCTTTGTATACCTCCTCTGGAGAACTATGTCTAAAGTTTCCTGATTTAACTACAGTCTTTGTATACCTCCTCTGGAGAACTATGTCTAAAGTTTCCTGATTTAACTACAGTCTTTGTATACCTCCTCTGGAGAACTATGTCTAAAGTTTCCTGATTTAACTACAGTCTTTGTATACCTCCTCTGGAGAACTATGTCTAAAGTTTCCTGATTTAACTACAGTCTTTGTATACCTCCTCTGGAGAACTATGTCTAAAGTTTCCTGATTTAACTACAGTCTTTGTATACCTCCTCTGGAGAACTATGTCTAAAGTTTCCTGATTTAACTACAGTCTTTGTATACCTCCTCTGGAGAACTATGTCTAAAGTTTCCTGATTTAACTACAGTCTTTGTATACCTCCTCTGGAGAACTATGTCTAAAGTTTCCTGATTTAACTACAGTCTTTGTATACCTCCTCTGGAGAACTATGTCTAAAGTTTCCTGATTTAACTACAGTCTTTGTATACCTCCTCTGGAGAACTATGTCTAAAGTTTCCTGATTTAACTACAGTCTTTGTATACCTCCTCTGGAGAACTATGTCTAAAGTTTCCTGATTTAACTACAGTCTTTGTATACCTCCTCTGGAGAACTATGTCTAAAGTTTCCTGATTTAACTACAGTCTTTGTATACCTCCTCTGGAGAACTATGTCTAAAGTTTCCTGATTTAACTACAGTCTTTGTATACCTCCTCTGGAGAACTATGTCTAAAGTTTCCTGATTTAACTACAGTCTTTGTATACCTCCTCTGGAGAACTATGTCTAAAGTTTCCTGATTTAACTACAGTCTTTGTATACCTCCTCTGGAGAACTATGTCTAAAGTTTCCTGATTTAACTACAGTCTTTGTATACCTCCTCTGGAGAACTATGTCTAAAGTTTCCTGATTTAACTACAGTCTTTGTATACCTCCTCTGGAGAACTATGTCTAAAGTTTCCTGATTTAACTACAGTCTTTGTATACCTCCTCTGGAGAACTATGTCTAAAGTTTCCTGATTTAACTACAGTCTTTGTATACCTCCTCTGGAGAACTATGTCTAAAGTTTCCTGATTTAACTACAGTCTTTGTATACCTCCTCTGGAGAACTATGTCTAAAGTTTCCTGATTTAACTACAGTCTTTGTATACCTCCTCTGGAGAACTATGTCTAAAGTTTCCTGATTTAACTACAGTCTTTGTATACCTCCTCTGGAGAACTATGTCTAAAGTTTCCTGATTTAACTACAGTCTTTGTATACCTCCTCTGGAGAACTATGTCTAAAGTTTCCTGATTTAACTAGTCTTTGTATACCTCCTCTGGAGAACCATGTCTATAGTTTCCTGATTTAACTAGTCTTTGTATACCTCCTCTGGAGAACTATGTCTAAATTTTCCTGATTTAACTACACTCTCTGTATACCTCCTCTCGAGAACGGTTTCTAAAGTTTCCTAGTTTTACTACATCCTTTGTATTTCTCGTCTGGAGAACTATGTCTAAAGTTTCCTGATTTAACTACATCCTTTGTTTTTCTCGTCTGGAGAACCATTTCTGTAGGTAACTGATTAAACTACACTCTTTGTATAACTCCTCTCGGGGTCCATTTCTAAAGTTTCCTGATTAAAAACAAAACTTACTTTGTAAATCTCCTTTGGAGTTTCGTCAAGTAGACTTCTTATATATCGTAATACATTTTGGTGTTTCAAAGCATTTTCAGAAACGTAAAATTTCTTCATAATATCCAGCATGTCATCCCAAACTTCAACACTCCACTTCTTTTTTCTGAAAATTAGAAATATTTTTATATAAGAGACTGAATATAAATTATCACATGTAGTATCAACTAGGTATTTTAGCTGTGAGAATAGGTCACAAAATGATATTTTCAATGTTTTGACCCAGGGATTGACCTAGGGACTAAGTTTCCAGGGATGGGGCCAGAACCCAGGGCCATGCACCAAGGTACAGTATTATGTGTATTTGTCTCTTTATGCTCTTAAGTCTTCAATGGTAAGGCCAGATTCAGGAGCATATGTTCATTTGTGTCTTTATTTTCAGCAATTGTATATAAGATGATAGGATGGGAATATCAACTGTTCTTAAGTTGTGATCAGGTTTTAAGTCCCTGTGAATTAACCAGACTGTCCCTGTGAATTAACCAGACTGTCCCTGTGAATTAACCAGACTGTCCCTGTGATTTAATCAGACTGTCCCTGTGAATTAACCAGACTGTCCCTGTGAATTAACCAGACTGTCCCTGCGAATTAACCAGACTGTCCCTGTGAATTAACCAGACTGTCCCTGTGAATTAACCAGACTGTCCCTGTGAATTAGCCAGACTGTCCCTGTGAATTAGCCAGACTAGATGCTATGGTTGATTTGAATAACATAATTGTGGTTTATTTAAACCCAGAAATTATGTATATATGGTTAGGGGAGGGGATTTGAAGGGTTCAAAGTTATGACCAAGGAAGTAAGTCTCCAGCGATGGAACTTGACCATAGAGCGATCCTAGTAGCATATGTGTATTCGTCTCTTTATAGTCAGCAAATGTTCAGGAGTAGTAGGAAGTTATTAAAGCTACACGTCACAGATAATGTTAATCAGATTGTCAAGGATGAGACCAGAAACCTGAGCCACACTGGTAGTACATGTGTAATTGTCCTTTTATAATTGTGTATAGGGTTATCGGTTGGGGATCACAACTATTTTCAATTTTAAAATTCTTTTGGCCCAGCCTCTCTTCCCTAATTGTCAGGCCTTAAATTGGAAAATTTGGGATTGCTTCTACCTGGGCATGTTTAGCAACATGGCCAAATTATGCATAATAAGGCCCTACTCCTTAGCCCTTGGGAGGGAGATGATGGGGGCTAGGGGGTTGGGGAGGTGGGAAGCCTATTCATTTTTTCAATTTTCAATTTAGCCTTTAAAATAATATACAATCTGAAAGAGGTGTATAAGGACTAAGTCAAACATGTAAAAAACTGAATATATTTGAGAGATATTTTGGTATAATTTCAAACAATGACACAGTTGTTGACAAAGTTCCTCTGTCTTCATATTAACTTATTGTTTTAAGGACATTAAACAACAAACAAACAAACCAACCAAACCCCAGGTTAAATCAAAAGAGTAAGTACTAATGCTTCATCCTTTTGTCACTGAAAGAAAGTCAAGGTCATATTTCTTCACAAACTTTCTTAGTCTGCATCCAAGGAAGTATCAAGTGTTATTACATGATTTTGAAGTTTTTAAGTCATTTGAAGTTTTTGACAAATTTGACCCCTGTGACCTTGAGTGTAGGTCAAGATCAATTTTTTCGCAAACTTTGTTGGGCTCTATCCCAGGAAGCTACCAACCAAATATGATTCTAGGCCTTTCTGTTCTTTAGAAGAAGTTGCTTAAGGCAAATTGGACAGATGACAGATTCTGTACCACACAGCATAATCTCTCTTGCCATGCAGATAGGTGAGTGAAAAACACATCTTCTTCAAACCTCATTTTTTGGACCTCAAATGAGAAGTTCACTTTTAAATTTGGAATCTGACAACTAAAAAATAACAGAAAAACATAATCTTCTAATGTTGTGGTTGAAGTGATCCCATATTTTTGAATTTAGAAGTGATGATAATCATAATACACTGTACACGTCATGTAATGAAACAATGATTATAAATTATATCCCCTCATTTTTTTCATAACCATTTTTCACAATGGAAATATGAAAGGTGGGACCTAAATTTACTTAACATAGACAACATCTGTAATAAGCGTACCGTGATAACACTATACTCACAAGACACATTTTACCATATGCTCGACAAGTGTTTGTGCCATTCTGACCTGGCGTTCAAATATGAATCCATCACTGGTAATAATGACTCCTACAGCTTTCCAATGTTCCCGTAGAATGTCCACCTTTTCTAGGACCTATTAATGAAACAAATTTAAGATCTTTAGTCAATATGTCTCTGTAAAATCCAGATAATAATAATAATAATAATTTGAGGTTTTTATATACTGCTTAATCACAATCTAGTTAGTAGGTCGTCTAAGAGCGGTTCACAAATTATAATCCGTGGTTATAGGGCCTTTGCAACCAGCCAATATCTCTGAGGAGCATACAGTCGGAGCTGCCGTTTCGGCGCTCACAGCTAGCATTCTACAATTCTAGCACTGCCCAACCACGCACTCATTTACAACTGAGTAGACAGGAACAAGCACAGTAAAGTATTTTGCTCAAAGATACAACACAGTGCCATGCCGTGACTTGAACCTGCAACCCTTCGGTCACAAGCCCGGCATCCTACCACTAGACTACCGTGCCTCAACAGATGACCATCAGTTGACATTTACACCCAGATTAGAATCCTGATGATCCTCAGTTGATATTTTTCTGTACATTTTACACCCAGATTAGAATCCTGATGATCCTCAGTTGATATTTCCCCATACATTTTATACCTAAATTAGTAACACAACATGTATTTTTAATTAGAGTGTCAAAGAATATTGAAGTATATAAAGGAAAAAAACACATTTAATTTGTAGCATGTGGAGTTTCAAACTCATGACTTCCTTACGGAGGTATATATCACTCAGTAGGGTTCAGAATTTATCACCAAAGACACAGTCTTATAACATACCTTTTACAGGGTTGGCATGGTGAATGATTTGAAATAAAAAAATATATATTATTATTGTACATGCCATGAACCTTATTCCTTACCATGTATGGGTTCTTTTCATGCTTATTGCTGTAAGCATTTGGTATCAAAGACATGACATGATCTATATTGGTAGCATATTCCTCTGGTTCCTGGCCCATCTTTGTGAAGTAGAACAGGTAAAGATCCAAAAGTTGTTGATGGATCTCTGGCTTATAGACTTTGTTACTTTTAGAATCACTGAAAGTTTGAGAATACATAATTATGTACATGACATCTGTAGCACATTTGTGTATAGAACAAGAGACTTGATGGGCCTGTATTGCTAACCTGTTATTTATTTCACATCTGTTTAAAGAGTTCTAAGGTCAAGTTTATTTAAATAGCATAGATATGAGTACACAAATCATTATTGATCTTTGTTGGAAGATTCTATTACTCTTATCAAATTTTGTCGGAATATTTCAACTTCTTTTATTAACATGACTTTTGAAATTAACTCTAACTGACAAGGTCATTCCTTCAGATCCCATACTTCAAAGAACTTCACACCACTGCACTACAGAACATATCTCAAAACCTAGTTATTCAAAAAAAGTTGTTGATGGTTTTGACACATTTGACTCTTGTGAACTTAAATGTGAGTCGAGGTCATTCATTTAAACAAAATTGATAGCGTTCATCCTAGCATGTGGCCACACACCATCACCCTAGGCCTCTGGGTTATTCAGAAGTAAGATAAGGTTTTAATAAATTTAAACTCTAGCTGTTACTAGGAATGAGAGTCATCTTCTGGGCCTTTTGGTTATTCAGAAGATCTTTCATTTTATTTTCTCTCTCTCAAATTTGACACCTAAATTGACCTTGAAAGTATGGTTAAATTTGCATATCCTGGTTGAAACGGTTTAGGTGGCGCAGAAATATTCCACGATGAATAAATGCACTTGGCTCGAGATATAGGCAAAGCTAAAAAATGAAGTTTTCGAGAATAAATAACAATATATCAAGAATAATATGTCCTTTTTTCACTCATCCACTGAATTATATATATACTGTATCTTAAAATCTGTATGTGGCTTGACCTTGAATTATCAGCAATACAGACCCAAAACAACTAGCATATTGTTAGACAAACATATGATTACAACTAGTACTACTGGTAGATCAATGTAGAATACAAACAGCTGATGAGAGTATTGAGAGAACTGTTGGGCCAGGAGAACTGTGAAGTAGATCAATGTCAGCCCACATCACGTAAACAACACTATCCTTGGCCCAGGAGAATTACGAAGTAGATCAATGTCAGCCCACGTGACCTTAACAACACCATTATTGGCCCAGGAGAACTACGAAGTAGATCAATGTCAGTCCATGTGACCTAAACAATACTATTATTAGCCCAGGAGAACTACGAAGTAGATCTATGTCAGCCCACATGACCTAAACAACACTATCCTTGGCCCAAAAGAACTACGAAGTTCTACTATCTATATAACTTTCAAATTACTAAAAAAAAAAAGAACAAAATCTATATCATTTACGAAAAAATCTCAATTCTTACAGAAATATGAATAACTTGTTAGAAAGTCATTATAAACTCATTACCCTAGCATGTCTCTCAGAAGAATACTGGTACAGTCCCTCCAGTAACCACTTTGGTGCTTCAAAGACATTTTTGGTTCCTCCGGTGTGTGAGTCCACAGTTTTAAACCCTCAATTAATCTTGTGAGATTATCCCCTTCCAAATTCTACGACAAATAAAAAAACCAAAAAACTGTATGAAACTATAGCACCTGAAGCTAATTTATTTGACACACATTTGACACACATGAATATTATTTATTCAGGTAATCAAATGGTTGTTATTTATACAGGTACTCAAATGACTATTACTTATACAGGTACACATGAATATTACTTATACAGGTACACATATCACTGTTATTCATATAGGTATACACATGGCTAATATTCATATTTGTATACATGCACACATGGTTGTTATTTTGGACCAGTAAATGTAGGCAACATTAAGTAAATAAAGTGCCCTACAGCTAACAATGAGTAAATTTACCATCAAGTAAGATTTCATCCTCTTTGTACTTGACTTGCCAACAATAATTGCAATGATGTTTGTAGAAGTTGTCCCTGATCCTGTCTTCAAAAGAGCCAAGATCAGTTCAAACAACATCTTCTGACATTCTTCTGTTGCCACTCTTCCTTCACTTTCACATTTGCTGCAAAGTGGGTAATAAATAAAATAAAGAGGTTTTACATATTTCCTGAATAGTAGTAATTGTGAAATTAAGATGTTTTTTTACACCTTTCCTGTACAGCAGAAATTGTGAGACTAAGATGTTTTTTACACCTTTCCTGTACAGCAGAAATTGTGACTGAATGTGAAGGTTACAAGATGTTTTTTTACACCTTTCCTGTACAGCAGAAATTGTGACTGAATGTGAGGGTTACAAGATGTTTTTTACACCTTTCCTGTACAGCAGATATTGTGACTGAATGTGAGGGTTACAAGATGTTTTTTTTACACCTTTCCTGTACAGCAGAAATTGTGACTGAATGTGAGGGTAACTTACAAGATGTTTTTCACATTTCTTGTATAGCAGTAGTTGTGACTTACTGTGAGAGTAAGATGTTTAATTACACATTTCTTGTATAGCAGTAATTGTGAGAGTAAGATGTTTTATATATTTCCTGTATAGCTGTAATTGTGACTTAATGTGAGGGTAAGATGATTTTAACATTTCTAGTATAGCAGTAATTGTGAGAGTAAGATGTTTTACACATTTCCTGTATGGCAGTAACTGTGAGATTAAGATGTTGTACATATTTCCTGTATTGCAGTAATTGTGAGAGTAAGATGTTTTACACATTTCCTGTAGAGCAGTAACTGTGAGAGTAAGATGTTTTACACATTTCCTGTATGGCAGTAATTGAGAGAGTAAGATGTTTTATATATTTGTTGTATAGCGGTAATTGTGAGAGTAAGATCTTTAATGTATTTGTTGTATAGCAGTAATTGTGAGAGTAAGATGTTTCATATATTTGTTGTATAGCATGCGCAGTAACTGTGAGAGTAAGATGTTTCATATATTTGTTGTATAGCAGTAACTGTTAAAGTAAGATGTTTCATATATTTGTTGTATAGCAGTAATTGTGAGAGTAAGATGTTTTACACATTTCCTGTATGGCAGTAACTGTGAGATTAAGATGTTGTACATATTTCCTGTATTGCAGTAATTGTGAGAGTAAGATGTTTTACACATTTCCTGTAGAGCAGTAACTGTGAGAGTAAGATGTTTTACACATTTCCTGTATGGCAGTAATTGTGAGAGTAAGATGTTTTATATATTTGTTGTATAGCAGTAACTGTGAAAGTAAGATGTTTCATATATTTGTTGTATAGCAGTAACTGTGAGAGTTAGATGTTTCATATATTTGTTGTATAGCAGTAACTGTGGGAGTAAGATGTTTTATATATTTGTTGTATAGCAGTAACTGTGAGAGTAAGATGTTTTATATATTTGTTGTATAGCGGTAATTGTGAGAGTAAGATCTTTCATGTATTTGTTGTATAGCAGTAATTGTGAGAGTAAGATGTTTTATATATTTGTTGTATAGCAGTAATTGTGAGAGTAAGATGTTTCATATATTTGTTGTATAGCATGCGCAGTAACTGTGAGAGTAAGATGTTTCATATATTTGTTGTATAGCAGTAACTGTGAGAGTAAGATGTTTTGCACATTTCCTGTATGGCAGTAACTGTGAGAGTAAGATGTTTCATATATTTGTTATATAGCAGTAACTGTGAGAGTAAGATGTTTTATATATTTGTTGTATAGCAGTAACTGTGAGAGTAAGATGTTTCATATATTTCTTGTATAGCAATAACTGTGAGAGTAAGATGTTTCATATATTTCTTGTATAGCAGTAATTGTGAGAGTAAGATGTTGTATGTACATATTTCCTGTGTATTGCAGTAACTGTGAGAGTAAGATGTTTAATTACATTAATTTAATTAATGAAGTTGTGTAACACATTCCCAGTATAGCAGTTACTCTTTCGCTAATATTAGAATTACTCATCCTCAAAATTAAAAGGGGTGAGGCTCTCTTACGTTCTCTGCACACCTAGAATGTGTCATGACAAAATTGAAGGCTCTGTATGCACCACAATGTGGATGATACCAGTAGACTAGATTGAAACCTTGATGTACATCAAAAGAAACGTAATGATAAAACTGACTGGCGTTAAAGGCAGATGTCACTCTTCTGCAACCTTCAAAGAAAGGTATCAGCCTTGTGATTGGTCAGTTTTTCTCACCCAAAACCAATTTTAATAGCTTAGTGTGTGCCTTCGGTTTGACTGGCGTTAAAGGCAGATGTCACTCTTCTGCAACCTTCAAAGAAAGGTATCAGCCTTGTGATTGGTCAGTTTTTCTCACCCAAAACCAATTTTAATAGCTTAGTGTGTGCCTTCGGTTTGACTGGCGTTAAAGGCAGATGTCACTCTTCTGCAACCTTCAAAGAAAGGTATCAGCCTTGTGATTGGTCAGTTTTTCTCACCCAAAACCAATTTTAATAGCTTAGTGTGTGCCTTCGGTTTCGTATTGACGTATATTCCCCGAGTGGAGATCAATAAACTGAGAGAAATCCCTGGAATTTCAGGGATGAGCATTGCGGTACTTACTCCATCACTGCCTCAATCATGGTGTATATTTCGGAAGCCATTTTAGCCCCTTCAGTTGTCCTTGGGGGAAAACCTTGGACACATACTCTCTCCTGGAAAGCCTTCACACATGCTTGTAAGGTTCCTGTATTCCCCTCCTGTTCACATTGAGACCTCCATTTCCTCCATTCCTTTCGTTGATGGTCGTGCTGTTCTTCGTTAGCAGTCACTAAATCGAACATCGTTATTATACCTAATAGTATGGACTGACCTGTCAAATACACAATTGTATATCTTTATTATCTTGTGGATAGTATGTTATAATTAATATCTATAATCAGACTTTCTTAAGTACAGTCTGATCCGTCAAACATTCAATTATGCACTTTAAATAATTGGCCTGATGTGTCAAACATAGTCATATACACCAATGCATGCATGAAATATTACTTTCCCATTACAAATTCAGTTGAATTTTCTAAAATAACCCATAAATGTATATAAAAATACATCTTTTTAATATTTGTAAAGGAAAAAGTGACCAAAACCAGAAACCATATAGACTTCAAAAACTTATTGACATCCCAAGTTCAATCAATTAATAGCTTAGGTATAACTGCAAATTGTAATGCCCATGAAAATACTTTCATTTTTGTACAATTTTGCAATAGAAAAGTTTTCATAATTAAATTATGTTTTTTTTCTATTACAAATGTGAAAATTGATATCAAGTTTAATGCAAATAAAACTGTGATTTTAATGGTCATTAAATTAATTTCCTTACATTAAATTGCATTGCCATTGACTGGAATGAGATTTTTTTCAAAATATAAAAGCATTTAATAAATACAACTGATTTTAATGGTCATTTAATTGATTTCCTTTTAATTATTGGTCATTAACTGAAATGGTTTTCATTACAAGAAACTGCAATTTCAATGGTAATTAAATTAATTTCCTTCCATTAAAATGCATTGCAATTGACTGGAATGATATTTTTTTCAAAATATAAAAGCATTTAATAAATGCAACTGATTTTAATTGTCATTTAATTGATTTCCTTTTAATTATTGTTCATTAACTGAAATGGTTTTCATTACAAAACAGTTTAAGAATGATTTTTGAAACAGTGTATGAACAGCTCAAGATCTTTTTCTCTTACAGTGATGAAGCAGTGATAAGAAAAGTTTGTAGAAACATAATTAGAAAACATAATTTAATGCCTACTAATGTATACAAACCTTGCTGCACTTGTCCTGGGGCAACTGAAAAGAACAAACATCATCTTCAAATTGGAGCAAGGCAATGAAACACAATATTATACTAATACTTTATACTTCAAATTACTTATATTATAAAGCATTAAATTTAATTTATTTTACAATAATTGCGAAACAAGTTATATCAATTTATAATATCAGTAGAATACTGGCCAGAGAAAACACCCCTATCGAGAGCCAAAGGTCCGAGATTATCGTGGTTTACCCTATACCTAATGTATACAAACCTTGCTGCACTTGTCCTGGGGCAACTGAAAAGAAAAAATATCATCTTCAAATGCCGAATCAGGAAATCAAACCTTGGCCTACTTGGTGGAAGGCAAGAGTGCTACCCACTGTGCCAGCCAATCATCATTCACATCTTAGTCCTTAACTGTTATCTTTACTAAAAGTCCTTAACTGTTATCTTTACTAAATGTCCTTAACTGTTATCTTTACTAAAAGTCCTGAACTGTTATCTTTACTAAAAGTCCTTAACTGTTATCTTTACTCAAATATGATGTGTATACACTGTTTATCATTGTAAAGAGCGAGCTTTCTACTGTTATGCAGCTGGTTGCCCAATTCTTCTTGTATCTAAGATCTTAACAGTTGTAAAAGACAAAAGAGAAATGCACGACCAGACCGGTAAGGTAAAATGAACAGCTCAATAGTAAAATGAACAGCTCAATAGTAAAATGAACGGCTCAATAGTAAAATGAACAGCTCAATAGTAAAATGAACGGCTGAATAGTGAAATGAACGGCTCAATATATATATATAGTGAAATGAACGGCTCCATAGTGAAATGCAGGCTATCAGCAAATTTTTCTGACCATTTTTTTTTCATTTTCATTAATTTTCTTTTAGCTTACTTCACTCTGTTTTTCTATATGAATAACAAATAATAAGTCTGGGGTAGATAATTTTAGAGTGGGGCAGGCGGGCTTCACTTAACCATAATGGTGAAATGATGGCTTTTTTTTTTTTTTTTTTTTAAACCAATTCTCAGTGTAAGTTCACATCAATTTGTTGTACTGTTTGTTAAAATCACAGATATTAAGTCTGGGGTAGAGAAATTTAGGGTCGGGCAGGGGGACTTCACTTACCTATAATGGTGAAATAAAGAGTTTCAGCATATTTTTTCTCTTTGACCTTTTTCAGCCACCAAATCTTGTTTAGATCACATTAATTTGATTTTGTATATGTGAAAAAAGCAAGGGGTAGAGAATTTTATGGTGGGTAAGGGTGGATTCGGACTTCAGCATAATGGTGAACAAAGGGTTATATAATAAAAACTCAAATAGAATAAATATGCTGACACCCTTCATTTCACAATTTTCTTTACTCCACTCTTTTTTTAATTTTCACACACAGTAAAACACAAATATTCTACGCCTTGCCCCCGGAGACAACAATTTACAAATAGGCATCTGGCATCCCCCCCCCCCCCCCCCCCCCCAGTTTTAATTAAATGCAGGTATAAAAAAAGTTAGTACCTTTTTTAGAGAGGGGAAAATATGCGCTGTAGGCACTCGACGCACTGGCAATGGCGGGAAGGGGGGCCAGAGGCCGGGGATAGTACAAGACAGGGACATGAATGACATCTTTAATTTTATTTCTTGCTGTTCATTATAGGCACTTCAAATCAACTACCTGATATGTATTAGAAACAAGTGTTTATGTGACTGTTGTGATATTGTATACTAAAAACAGGGTCAGCCGTAAACAGTGTCATAAATATTGGCAATGACAACATGACCACTGGAAAAATGAAATAAATCACTCAGTCGTCGAACTGATGGAAAATAAAAACAAGCTAGAACAAAGACAGATGTCCACATAGTAATACTTAATATAGAACTGGGGAAATTTTTAACTGAAATAGGGGAAAAGAAAGCTGAAACAGGAGAAAATGATGCCGAAATTGGAGAGGGGAATTGACCAGTATTCAGTCAAAAAAGGGCCTGTAAGTTGCACAACCAGACCAGGATTCAGAACCCCCTGAACTCTGGACAGGAACTCTTTTTAGGTTTTAGCCATATTTTTAAAATTTATATTTTGAAATATACATATCTGATGCTAACATTTAACAAATCTTTGTATGCAGGCATTTTTTTTCTCTCCAAAATTCATTCAAACCTAAAAACTAATGCATGGCAATTAGTTTTGGAAAAAATGACTGAATGCAAAATATTGCATTACAACATACAGTGAAGCTGGGAAGTGATCTGGCAGTGTTTCATTGTATTATATATATTTATCCTACCATTAAAGATATGTGTCGCGTATGCTGACACAATTATAACTAATACTATCAGAATAGGTAACATGTTATCATCAAAGACTGATTGTGAAAATTGTTTTTATTTTATATATTTGTAACAAAGGTCATTATTTTTTACTAAGAGAGGACTAATATATAGGCAATGCCTGATATCTAATCCTGTAAACTTCTTTTGTCAATAAAATATGTTGAAACAGAAATTGACATGGTCATTATTTTTTCAATGGCTTCGCTAGGACTCAAACCCAGGACCTCTGGTTTATCTGGTAATTATATAATTGTCTTACACTCCACTGAATGAGCTAACTTTAGAGGAATTCTGCAGTCCCCAGTCGGTAAGAAGTGCATGGCAGGTATTTTACAAGATAACAGATAGATTGTGAAGTAAATTAAAGAAACACATTAACTAATAAAACAAAAACTATTCAGATTTATATCACAATAATCACATCAGCTCATATTACTAATTGAACTTGTGTATATGGAAATATGCCTAAGGCCTTTATATAGCTAGAGTAATACTGTCAATTATAATATTCTGAAACTTATAATATCAAACATTAAATTAATAATAACTAAATTTTGATACAAGTACGCAACTTACACATCCTGGGATCCTGCCAGCTGGTGCTCCCATCATTGTGGTTTATAAAGTAGATTTGACCCTCGGGCGTGAAAGCATGTGTCCAGTTCGGGGGTAGGGGAGGCCCCTGCTGTTGGTGCATGTCTTCAGCTTGCTTTATTCCTTCGCTTATGCCAAGTGCTTGTTTGATGTCCTGCGCTCTGTATCTGCCCTGTGATACCTGGTTGATTCCATTTGGTGCTTAGTTGGTTCCATAGAAATTACACTTGATTTAAAATTGATGCTGTGTGGTAATTGGTCGATGCACTTTGGTAGTTTAAGTTTACACTCTGTTTGACTCGGTTTTTACACTGAATTACGGTGTATAAATCTAGAGCTGGTTAAATCAAGTATTTTCTGAATACCATGAAGACAGTAGTGCGTCTTATTTTAAGGAAATGCCTCCTTGCTGACAATAATAGAGTTCTGCATTACATTAATTCTTCTTTTCTGATTTGATGACTATATTGATCTGAAAGACATAAATTAATCAAATTGTTGCAGATTTTTAGCTGTACATTATAAGGATTGCAGTTCCCTTTTTTACTTGCACTAGATGGAATTTCCCTTTCGCGCGATTGATGGAACCACCCTACTTTTTTTCCTGTAACAAATGGTGTCCATTGCCCTAGCTGTGGTGACAGGGAGTAAGAACCTGGGTTGTTGTGGCATTCAATGGTGAACACATTTAAAAACAGGGGAGTAGTGTCTGGCAGATTTTAATTTTACATAGAATTACGGTAATCCTTCTAGCTGCATGCTAGAGGGATCGGTAGACTGGAAGCTGGGGGTTGCAGGTTTGATCCGTGGTGAAAGCACACTACTCTCTTTCCTATATCAAATGTAAAAAGGAGAAAGAGAAATGCATGTCCAGACCTGGATTGGAACCTGGGACCCTCCGATCTCTAGGCAAACGCTCTTTGTAATTGAGCTTCCTGGGCGTAAATTATTAACCCAGTGCAGTTCAACAACATTAAAATTGAAGAAAAATGTTTGCGACAAATAAAAAATAAATCCAGTAATTTTAAATGCCTTCTATATTCTTGTATTCAAGTTTTAAACTGGTTGGGCACAGCGGCGCATATGGATAATAATCCTGCGTTTGGGTAAGTTACTCATTTGAGTTATGATTTTGTTACTGAAATGGGGAATAACGTGAAAAAGAAAAAAAAAGTTCTTTTACACATTATGAACAAAAAAGGGCGTCATTCTTTCCACATTATAATCCAATAAAAAATACAACTATATGCATTTGTGCACAAAAAATTGTTAATTCCAGGGGTCGACACTAACACTAGTCCGTTAGTCCTGGACTAGTAGATATTTCAGCAAGGCACTAGTGAATCACCTAACCTAACTGTTCCTTTGGACTTGTGAAAAATATCATTATAAAATAATAATATTCCTTTTTTAGAATTTAGAAAACTGCTTAATAAGATATAATGCAAGACAATTAATTAATTGTCAAAATTTTCCTAAAACCTCACCATATTTTTATGGCAGCAGTTATTTTAAGTCCCCTACAGTCGATTATTTTTGATGTTTCGTTCTGTACTGTACAGGTCCAGTACACTCTGCCGATTGAGCTATATAGCTATAAAGACCTATATAGCTATATTATACACCTATAAATTATAGCTGTATTGAGCTATATTTTCTCAGATTTCAAATTTTATTAAATTAAAGCAAAGTCGCATAAAACAATAAGGTTTATGGCAATGTTGACTACAAAAAGCATACATTTAGATGTTTATTTTCATTTTTCATAAATGTAAAATTTCCGATTTTTTTTACATCATTATTTTTTAAAAAGAATAGCCATATTTAATGTCTTTTGTTATCAACTTAATGATACAATCTTCTTTTAAAAGCGACTTTGTTTCGTTTTCCTTAAAAAAGAAAATCACTTGAAAATAGCTCAAAAGACCTATTTCACATAGGTCAATAGAGCTATTATAGGTCTTTACAGCTATATAGCTCAATCGGCACAGTGTACTGGACCTGCTGTAGATCACAATGATTCCTTATCAGGAAATCTTTGACTAGTTACCATTAATGAAGAACTAGTAAATAATAAATTCAACCAGAGACGTTTAATATTATACGTATCTGATTCAACTGGTCCTGTGGACTACATCAAGCAAACAAAATCAGTGTCTAACCCTGCATTCAGTTGTCTAATCTTTGTGAAAATGACAAATTGTATCAGCTATAAATAGCACTAAGAAAAAATCATGCGTTAACCTATCCTGCCACGGTTCTATTGACTACACACTGAAGTCAATGGAGAACAAAGTCAGTGTTTGGTTTGTCATTTTCACAAAAAGTTAGACATCAGCATTAATAATTGTTTGTGTTCAAATGTATTTTATTTTGTTATTTATTGGATTTAGTTGAAAGAATAACGCCCTTTTTTGCTTCAAGTACTTCTTGTGTTTCACTTAAAATTGAAAAAAAAATGTAAAATTGAATTCAAAAGTCCAGTAATGCTCACTCGTTATCATCTCATATTATACGGAATTTCATATATTCCTATTAAACTCTGGAGAAAACAACGAAAACTGCTTACCTGTAGGCCTATGGTGGAGAAGCACTCGGTCTGTCAGTCATTTGTAAACAGCAATGGCCTTTCCGAGTGGGTAACTCTTGAGATTATCCGAAATGCAAGGCGCATTCGCACTGCAAAAACCATGACATTTCACGCCTACAGTAAAATATTAAATGAATTAAATAAGTGTTTATTCAAACATGGTAATCATTTTAGGACACTTTTTAAAACTCCTACCTTAAAAGTTGTTTTGTCAAATTTAAGCTAACAATGCTTTGAACAATTGTATCTCCAGTCTGGAAAAACCAGAAACCAAGGTTTCAAAATCATTACAAAGACATTCCTCTATTAATTTGCCAAGGTCTGCAAATATTCATTCGTGTCTATGTCATACGACCCTCCGAGGAGTGGTCAGTGTTTATAATCAATATTTTTGTAACAGGGCAGGTAGACTTCGATCCAGTGATCGATTTCTTTTTTCAACGAGTCCTAGTTCCGTTAAACACTTAGTCTGACTACATGTACTCATACATCATACCCTTTCAATAAATGACAAGTCTTAAACCAGTAACATAGATCAAGCTACGAATTGTTCAACTATATAAATGCTGTATATTATTATTATTATTATTGGTACTATATCATACCAAATGTTAAATTTCAGTATTTCATCGCAAAAATTGCCCAAACCAGCGAGACTTCACTGGCCTCTGCCCAAACAGAGACATACTTACATCAGCATAAATTCCTTGCCTCTCATACCGATGATTAGCATCTATATAGTATCAGGAAAAAAGTCTACCAACATATTCAACATTTTTTTTCTTTTCATCCTCCGATTAATACATATGATCAGAGACGTATAATACAGAGATTGGCAACTTGCTCTTGGCCTTACCATTGGTCACTGGTATCGAGAGTTACGCTTCACCTGCGCCATATTGGATATGCGGTTCGCTGCATTCAACTCAAATCATAATTATGCCATGAGAAAACATCGCAAATCAACGTAACATTAAAACCGTACGTAGCTACAAAATGTAGCTGAGATTTCCATGCGGTTTGGGAGTGCTACATTGAATGTAAACTTGAATGATTAAGTTTAGAAAACCCCAAACATCGAAAGATTGCACATCGTGGCTGTGTTTACATATCGGTAATTATTCTGGCTTCAGGATAACACTATCTCCGTTTTTGTTCTTTAGACAATTTCAAAAAAGTTTTCAGAAATTAATTATATGATAATATTTCTAACCAGGAAATTTAAATGAGGTTGTTACAATACTTGCAAAGTTTCATAATTCAGCTGTGAAAAGACAGGTTTTTCTGAGAAATCAAGTTAAAATGGCGGCTCTGATTTTGAGGGTTATTTCTATCATGACAAATTTTGAACACTATCTCCGTTTTTTTTCTTTAGACAATTTCAAAAAAGTTTTCAGAAATTAGTTATATGATAATATTTCTAACCAGGAAATTAAAATGAGGTTGTTACAATACCTGCAAAGTTTGATAATTGAGCTCTGAAAATACACTTTAAAATAACCATGTGAAAATGGCGGCTGTGATGTGCGAGAGTTAATTCCTTTCATGACACCGGCACTCCTTTCTCGTTCATCTTTTTATTTCAAAAACGTATTCAGATATAACATTATATTTCTAACCAGCTTCTTTATATGATCCATATATCTAGGATAAGTGACATGTTGACACGAACTAACGAATACACGATCGAACTCTCACACAGGTAACTCACTGACCAGACTATCGTCACCAGGTCGATAAGCTGTCAAAACAAACACTCGTAGATCATGCGTGATTTTGCGAGATCAGCGAGAGTTGCCAATCTCTGTATTTATACGTCTCTGATATGATGTTGATAAAAGATGTGTTTCTGATTCACATCTTAGTTATTTGTTCGCCAGGTTTAAATGTATATTATTTAGCATAATTAATCTTGTATTATGTTTAAGCAGGGTTAATGTTTAATCGAAACTTCTTACTTGACCTCTTGTGTAATATAAATCAAATCCTTACAGGCTGGTTTGCAGACTACTTTTGTTGCGTTGTCGCATTGTCGCGTTAATTTTGTCGCGCTGTCGCATGCGCGTTGTCGCGTTTGCGCCCCCGCCAATGCGACAACGCGATATGACCAAAATCAGCCACCATTCACTGTAGGTATCAGTACAGCATCTATACGCATGGGTGATATAAAGATATTGCTAATATCCGTCCTCAAATAGGACTTCGCTGATGTCATATATATTCATTATACATGTTTATAGTCCTATTGCTAATACATAAAGGGCGTCCATGCAATGTAGACTTCGTATATGAAACTTTACATCAGAAAAAAGACAAAGGGAATGTATTTTTTTTTCAAAAGTAGATACATGCATGTAGACTCTACAAATTAAAAAAGAAATGTCTGAGCATTTTCCTTTGCTTCGAATTCCTGACCTTATATAAAGACTCACTATTTATAGTATGCCCCGGGTATTGGCTGATTGCGCTTGAATGGGATTCAGAAGCGATTACAAAAGGTTCAGTAAATGTCGGTGTCATTGATCGATATATGGTTTGAGTTCATGTAGATTTAGGCCACCTATTGATTGCAAACACATGAGTCATTCCTGTCGATATATTGGTATACGAATCGTAGTTTAACATTTGGTAGTTGACAATGACCTTATTACATTTTTTAAATGTCATTAAACGTGCGCATGCGTAAACCATGTATGGGTTTTACCGAGTTCGTAGGGTTCCTACGCGGTTTTTCCGAACCCCAACTGTGCAATTGCACAATCAATTCGAACGCGCCTTACTTTATCGGAAGGCCTCTAGTATTGACCATTGTAGCTGTTGGTATTAGTGTAGTAACCAAACTGTTTACATATGGCTGGCAAGGCACATCTTTAGGTTCTGATACACGCTGCCGTATATCACCCTTCCTACTACCGGCACCAGGTAAGCTCAGGATTGCACTGACTTGACTGAGATAGAAATATCGCTATGTTGATATTGTGTACCAACTCATCGTATTCCATTAACATTGTTGCTTCCAATTCCGAAGAGCCAAGGAGACATTCTTATGGAAGATTAGTCTTGTACTAAATATGTAACCCTCCTTAAATAAAGATATTATTATTATTATTATTATTATTATTATTATTATTATTATTATTATTTCGATAAACAGTGTTTTCATTGAAACGTAAACCTTGTAATGCAATGAACTTCCAATTTTCACCAATTTTAAACAGAAAAAAATGAGAAATAACTTACCATCAACCAAAACCGATATAAAACTGGAGAAAAAAAAATAACAGATTCAATATTATAACTAAATAAATATAATAAATAAATTTAAAAAATTACATGAATTAGTTCAATTTGACATCTTGAAAAATCAATTAAAAATGTGAAATTTAAAAAAAGTTGCTTTGATAATTAATTTGACGATCAAAGATATTTTTTATTCCAAACGGAAGCTTTTGTTCTTGCTGCAGGTCACTGTAAAGAATTTCTTTTTAGTGTATTCGAGTTATCTTTCTTTGAACACTAAATCAAAATAGACACACGGAAACATATGACGGCTACTTCCGACGGGAGAAATTTGTTAAAAATTGTTTGTTCTGATTTTTTTAAAATACAGTTTTATGTTGCTAGTTTTTTGTTTCCTTTAGTACATTGCATACATGTTTATGACAGTCTTCTGTAATTTCAACAGTTTTCTGCCGGTAAATACGAAATCGCGGATGCTTCATATAAGTGCCCGAAAACCGGTAACCCGAGGATATTATATCAATATCAACATAAATTATACAAACTAATGTCCCTTCTGCGTTTATATTGGTTTCTTCGTCCAATATAAGTGCAACATTCTCATAGAATATTTTTGCACAAATTGTGCATGGTTTTAGATAAAAAGCATTATAACCAATTGCAAAAGCGTTACAATTTCCTATTTGGATTTCCTACACTTGTTTTCAGGCAGACTATAAACTGAAATTTTTCACTAGATCTGACTAAAAATTTGTAAGCCCCAAGTGTCAGGCATATTAACAACCAAAAGGTTAAAAATGTGTTGAAGTCCTGTAAATCATTGTAATATGGTAGGATGCTGCAAATCCGGGTAACTGTTTCACCCGTAATCCCTTTTGCACCTGTCTTTTTGCCCTAAATCAGTTTGCCCATTAATTAAGTTATCAAAATATATTCTTAAGAATTTCATGCATGTACAAAATGTACATGTGCAGATCTTGTCGGACTGTACAAGTCTAATGACAAAACAAGACTAAGGCCCGGTCACACAGCCTTTCGCGTCTGTATCGCGGGTAAAATTTCGCGATTTTTTTTTTGCCCGCGGTTGCCCGTGGTGGAAAATGTGCAAAATTGGCTTACCCGCGGTTTACCCGTGGTATGCCCGCGGAACAGACGCCGGCGACTGTTCCGCGTCCTTATCGCGGGTGAAGCACGGCGGTACCGCGGCCTACCACGGGTATAATAAAGCAGCCGTACCACTTGGTTCTGATGCTGCTGGAGCAGCAAGACGAGGTCATTACGGTGACGGGGATCTATGTTCACCCCTTGACGTCTGGAGCACAACTGACGAATGCTCGGCAAATCGCGCTTTTTATATACCTAAAATCAGACGTTGTACGGACGCGATTAGGCCGTGGACAATCGTATTTGGGACGTGTACAAGACGCAATTGAACGTGATTAGGCCGGTATTGGGGCGCGCTGTTTACGCGGAGAAAGGCGTTTGTCCGTGTTTACACGCGGTACACACGCTAATGCACGTGATAACAACGCGGTACAGACGCGGAACAAACGTGCTATGACCGTGCTCCACCCGCGATTACCCGCTAAAATTTCGCGTCCTACCGCGTGTAACCACGTCTTAACCGCGGCCGTAGCACGTCCTAGCACGTTCGTTCCGCGTCTGTACCGCGTCTTTACCGCGTGTGTACCACGTGTACCGCCCCCGATTACCCGCGGTCTAAATTTTTGGGCAGCCCAAAACTTTTTCGCGCGGCCAACCGCGTGTGAATTTCTTACCGCGTGTAACGACGGGTAAAGTACGG